TAACATCAAACTAACTTGTGAGTGACATGAAGCCATAAAATTGAAGTACAAAAAACTCGCATGCCATCTCAAAGTTGTCGTTAAGAGTTCCAAGCACTGTACATGACACATGAATGGTAAGCGATGACGTAACGTGCTGACTGCGCGTTCTGATAAAGCCAACTCCATAAGCACGGATAGGATGAATCACGGCAGTCAAGGACAAACAGAGATAATTCCTCTCAGCTGATAGGTATAATCCGTGGACCCGCTAGAAGACCACACTATTCTCGGGCCATTATCTCCGTAACCGTTCAACTTTGGACATAGGTGTTTTGGGTTATATCGGCATACTTTAACATAAGGAACACCCTCCCGAAGTTTGGCACATTCCTCCTGGGACACCCTGTATATAAGGGTATGATGTGTTCTCTGCGCGGTCCGTGCAACAGCTGCATGACATAACAATAGAAGAACTGTTGGAAGCAGTGTTTTCTATGCGGTCTATGCTGAGGTGTTATAAGCAGAGCAAGTCTAGAGTTTAGTTAGGTGGGAGACAGTTGCCAGACAGTAAGGGCATGAACACAGAAGCTGACAAAGCTACAGTGTTGGAAGCTATTACCAGATGACTGGTGATGACACAACAGACTGAAAAGACTTATTGTGTGCTGTAGTCAATTGTATATTGTGTGAATTAACAACAGTGCTATGATTACTAGTGGTTATGTTCTGTAAGAGTCCAATAAATCCAGTTACCAATCCAAACCAAATCTATAGTCACTCATACACATGACAATATTTTAATTGATAATTCCACGTAAAAATATGCAACATATCTGACCATGAGGGCAGTGCTGGAGCAATAAAACAATGATGGCTGACATCACTTCTTATTGGTACCTAATGGTATAAGTTTAACACCAAAGTAAAAGGATGCCATTTATGTCCCGGAGAGAAGACTTGGTTCTCCTGTTATGTCACAGCAAAAACATGGTCTTTCTTTTATAGTGCCAGAACGGGAAATAACAGCTGAGACTTATTCTCACAGATCTGGCTCAGCATAGTAATTCAGAGCAATCAGAAACTCTAAGGGATATACTGCCTCAGGACAGCATCAACTGTAATTGAAGACTCAAAGGTCCATCTGCTACAGTTCATGCTTAACACACACCATAAACACCAGTCAGCGGTATTTTTTTAAAATGTTGGATTAACTGTGGGAAGAACAACTCAATATTTTAAACTAAGTTTTATCTGCAGAAGCATTATGAAGCTTAAGACCTCAATTATAAATGGAATTACTGGGGATCATCAGTGTGGGTTTCAATGTAATATCAACCACTGATCAGATTTTTTGCATTTATTATATACTGGAGGAAAAATAGGAGTACAATAAAACATTACATCAGCTATTCATAGACTTCAAGAAAGCCTATGGTTCAGTTAGAAGAGAAGTGTATAATATTCTCAAAGAGTTTGGCGTATCCATGAAACTAGTTAGGCTGATTAAAATGTGTTTAAATGAAATGTATAATGTCTGTATAGGTAAATGTTTGTCTGATAATTTATCTATACAAATTGATCTAAAACAAGGTGCTTTATCTCCACTGCTTTTCAGCTTTGTTTTAGAATATGCTATTAGGAGGTCCAGGAAAACCAGGTGGGAGTGAAATTAAATGGGACACATCAGCTGCTGGTCTATGCTGATGATATGACTCTACTGGGAGATAATACAGATACCATAAAGGAAGACACAGGAACTTTAACACTAGAAGGGAGGTTGGTCTAGAAGTAAACGCAGAGAAACTAAGTATCAGTTGGTGTCACATCACCAGAATGCAGGGCAAAACAATGACATAAAGGTAGCTAACAGATCCTTTAAAAATGTGGCACTGTTCAAATATTTTTGAATGACTGTAACAAGTCAAAGTTTGATTTAGGAGGAAATTAAGAGGAGACTGAAATCACATAATGCTTACCACCATTCAGCCCATAAAATTTTGTCTTCTCGCCTGCTGTCTAAAAATTTAAAGATTAGAATATACAAAACTATAATTTTGTCTGGGGTTCTGTATGGGTGAGAAACTTGGTCTCTGACATTAAGGGAGGAATACAGACTAAGGGTGCTTGAGAACAGGGTGCTGAGAATATTTGGACCAAAGAGGTGAAGTGACAGGAGGTTGTAGAAAACTGCACAATGGGCAGCTCCATACTGTGTACATTTGACCAAGTGTAATTAGAACGATCAAGTCAAGGATGAGATGGGCAGGGTATGTAGCACGAACAGGGAAGAGGAGGAATGCACATAGGATATTGGTGGAAAAGCCAGAAGGAAAGAGACTATTAGGAAGAACGAGATAGGCGGATGCATAATATTAAAATGGATCTTCGGAGATATAGGATGGGGCGGTACGAACTGGATTGATCTGGCTCAGGATAGGGACCAGTGGAGGGCTCTTTTGAACACGGCAATGAACCTTTGGCTTCCATAAAATTCTGGGAAATTCTTGCGTAGTTGCACAGCTGGGGGCTTATCAAGAACTCAGCTCCATGAAGTTAGTTAGAGACCTCAATTAGAATTCTCTAAGCCTGATATAAAAAATTCTCACTCTTAACTCATAATTACTTGCAATAATTAATTTTTATCTTACCTCACAGGAATGATTAATGAACCTTGCAGCATTTCCTCTCATTGTAGCATCCACAACCAACTGATCATCTATACGGAACATGTAGCAGCCAATATCTTTAGATTCATAATATTTTTCCCGTTTGTCTGTCAACATGGAGCGAATCACCTCTCCTGCATATTCTATTACCATCTCTCCGGCTTCTATGTCCCGGAGACAAAACAATCCTCGGCCATGTATATTGGAACGATAAACACCTACTGCTTCTTTTGAGGTTTCTTTAAGATGTCGGAAACGCATCGCCATTGGAAGATTTGAACTGGTAGCTCGCCTGTAAATATTTTTGTTCATGTCACACGTGATATAGAAAAACATTAGGGATGGACAACTTGAAAAATCATGCTAAATAATGGTTTCAAAGCAAATACAGATATAAATTATTGCTCACGGCTTCTCTGATATATGGAAAATACTGCTCATATGGGAACAGCATTCCATTGTATAGTAGGATAATGCAGCCAATTAAGCAATTACAGATGACAAGTAAAATGCATAACAAGTGTGCAGTCATTTGACACAGACCTCTATAACCTCACCTTCAACACTCTGGCACAGAGGGCAAGCCTGAATTCTTTATACATACATATAAAGGGACAAAGAGAATATGACAATATTAACAGAATATCACTATAAAGAATCCTAACTACTTAAAATATGGACATAAAGTGACAGCTGATATAAGTATTGTACTAATCATCAGGGTTATATTTGTAATTAAACTGTAATATACTGAGAACAGAATGGGAATTCCATCATGTCACTGGATCAGCATGCCTAAATAATGCCATCAACCTAATTGGTTTTAGGTTGCCCTCTTCTGGGCAAGTCATCACTGATTTTTTGCTGCAAGAGGAATCAATGTAATTTATAATGTACATATAATGAGGAAACAAAGTGTTTTGCAAAATATGACAGACAAATTGAAATATAATCCCGGAGAAGAGACATAAAAGTTCTCAAACCGCAAAAATTCCTCTTCCAGGAACATTTCCTTCATCATATAATTAATGCATCAAACAACCACACAATTTGCAAACACTATTTAAAATAGGGGGAATAACATAAAAAATAACTGCAGAAAAGAATTTATAATGGAAATTTTGAACCTTATGGAACTGATAAATATGATCATTCTAATTAGTAGGTCTTCAGTGGACTCATACTTTAACGATGCTTGATCAACTCCATGGAACAAAACTGTTTTATCATGAACTGAGAACAAGGCAGGAAACAGAAGTGGCTTATTTCAAAGTGCATTCCAGCATTTGCCTGAAAAGACCAAAGAAACACACAAGAAACCTCAATGAGGCTTAAAACTTACATAATACATTAGCTCATAACATTGAGTATAATCAACATACTTCCTGATTAAGTTCTGTCTTCTGTGATATGATGTGTAAACTGATGAAAGTCAACCAAGAAACCAATGTCAAGCAGCTGTCAGTTGGCTTTCACCAGTTTAAATAGCATTAGATCTCAGGAGACAGAACTTTTCTAACCACTACAAGAACCTTAAATACTACAAAGTACTTCCTACTGACACTCTGTAGCAACATCCAATGAAAATACCTGTTGCTGATGGTGGATTCACTGTCAGCAGACAGCATAAACTTTGGTGGTTGTCGGTGCCGTGAAGCCAGCCAGCTGAACATGTCATACGGAGCTCGTGTCTTAAAAGGTTCACATCGGACACAACCTGATGGGTTCTCTCGAGGCAGAGCATCTATATCTTCATCAGGTCCAGGTGGGCGAAGCTTGTGATAACGTGGTTTGTACTTGATGCAACGCCCAACACCTGGCAGTTGCTCGACTAGATATCGCAGAGCATTGTGCCGGAACCCTAACATTTGCAAACCTGCAGAAGTCACATTGAAAGGATTCTCTGGTAACCGTGGCATCTTGTGCAATTCCCTTGCTTTCTGCACTGCTTCAAACACTTTCTGCCATACTTCTGTGATGGAAGATGATGTACAAGTAAAGCCATCCTGTGAGTGTACTTCATATGTGATGGTTGGTGAGACATTACTACCTAATAAGTTTTCCTCCTGGAAAGGAGGTATCTTTCCATTCTGAAGATGTGATGCGTCTGTTGTACCATTTTGTGTATTCATTTTACTGTCGGTCTGTATACCAGGTGTACTTGGAAATTGTTCCTCCTTTTGTTTCTCATTGAGAGCAACCATGCGAGGTTTTATTTTCACAGCTTTCACCGACAATGGCTGATTAGATACTGCACCCATCTTTGGCGTATCCATCAGTTTAGACTGATGATTCTGATTACTGATCTTATAGTAACCATCCTGTGCTTGTTTCTGGAAAACTAATTTCAATGAATTCGGTTGTTTATTGCTATTGTTGTTCCCAGTTTTATTTTGTGGTATAGGAATTATGGTAACTCTACTTTCAGTTCCTTGGTCTGATATGTTATTAGCTCTCTCAACCGTAACTGATTCCTTATTTGTTTTAAGCACTGGCTGTGGAATGCCTACAGATGGATTTAGCTTCAATGGAAAGATGTGATTAATGGTGTGAACAGGAATCTCCACATGGCTGTTTGTTTTAAACGTTTTTATAGCAGAATCTGATGCCTGATTATGCACAGCAGAATTTATATTTGTTGAGACTGGTACATGAATTTTTATAAATTCAGCTTTATGTTGTACTAGTGGTTGTGTCAATGGCTGTGCCTGTGGAGGAATGCAAGGAAGAGGTGGGGGTGGTGGTGTTGGTGGGGCTGGTGGGGGCCGCTTTGCAGGAGGTAGAGGAGTTCGTACTGTTGGAGTGCATGGAGCATTCCGACTAATATGCGGCATATTTATTCTTACATTCTGACAGGTACTGGGCGGAAAATTCTCAAAGTCCCCATTTGGAGGCATATATGAGTCAGGGCTGCTGTATTCAGGATAAGACCATGGTACATTATGCACTGGAGGTGCTTGTGTTTGAGGTATGACATGGGGGGGTGGCTGAGGTGCAGCTGGAGATGGAAGATTCATGGGTAATGATGATGATGCACAGGCCAGCATGTCTGCCCTGGCCAGCCCAGACTCTGGAGGGAGCTGTGTAGCCTGAGGATTCACGATCACAAAACCGGATGGGACATCCACGATTGGTTCCACCAACTTGCTTGCCTGAAACACCTGAGTAGTTGTAGCAGAGAAGCTGCTACTTGCTGCCATCATACCTGGCATTGTAGCTGACACAAACTGGCTTGATGACATCACTGTGTTACTTACAATCGTCTCCAGGCCATAATACATAGGTTGACTAGTCAAATACATGCCACCTGTCTGGTCTGTGTACATCTCAAGTGCAGGAGTTGAGCCTAACACAACCTGCTCAGCAGCTACACACTGGATTGTTGCTGGTGGAGTTTGATGTATGAGTGTCCCAATCACAGCTGGCTGAGGGGTTGCCAACTGAACACTGGGGAGTACTGAGATGCCACCATTCTGCAGACCAACATAACTCTCAGGGGAAGCCTGCAACTGGAATGTCCCTGGCACCAGAGAATTTGGAGCTGTGGTTAAGTATGGGGCCTTACTGTATCCATTGTTGTGGGCATCAATAGTGGCAATGTACTGCAAACTCTGGCCTGTCTGCTGTTGTAACGCTTCAACAAAAGCTGGCACCATGTTCGGGGACGGAACTTGTTGCATTATCACAGTTGGTGTTGCAGGCTGCTGGCTGGGGTGTGTTTGACATGGCACAGAGTGTTGGGACTGGTGAGAATGAGGTGACAGGTTCATGACTGTAGTTGGATTGTCCTTCCGTGAAGATCTATGAGCATATGTTCTCGAAGATGGTCGTCCCCTTGGTCTTCCATTTACAGCATGTAATCTATATGAAGACTGTGCTGTTTTTGGCTGTGACTGATTTGAAGGTGAATGAGATGATAATGATGGGGAGGAAATCAATTCAGATTTACTTTTCTTATTTTCTGTAATTATTTCTTCTTTCCTCTGTTTCACAGTATCATTTTCAAGCTTCACTGTAGGACTACTAACATTCTGATGATTTACAATGGGAAACTTTGGTTTCTTACTTCCTTCTTCCTCACTTGATCGTGTATTTTCTGAATCGCTCTCACTGGTGGACAAAATGAAATCACTGCTGCATGTTGGCAAGTGACGTTCAAAACTGGATCGGGTACGATATGTACGATGGCAGCGATCACATTTCACAGGTTCTTCCTCACATGCAGTCCTATCAGTTAATGCATTATGTAAGTTCTTGACAGGAGCTGCTGAAGGGAAAGGGCTCAGGTCATCATCCACATGCCTTCTTGGAGAACCTCCCTCACTGCCACTACTACTACTGGAATCAACGGCACCATCCAGCTGCAGTATCCGAGGTTGTGAACGTCCATGCCACAAAAGGCACTTGTTCTCTTTCCCCTCCTCCTTCTGGTGGGCAGACCTCCACCGGCCCACAGATGCTGCAACCTCACTAGATGCAGCATCTCCTTCCAGGCGGTACTTTAGTTCCCGCACACTGTCGGCAACAGATGACCCCATACCAGGTGTTCCAGATCTTGCCAGTGCTACAAGAACACCCTCTGGAAGTCTCAGCTCCTGAAGCATATGTGCCCTTTCACTATCCACAACCATTACCAGGCTACTGGCACCTTCGCCTCCACTCCTTGGCACTGTCCTTGTACCTTTCCGTCGCTTAGCAGAATTGTTCAGTGTGCCATCCAGCTTGCAGCTCCATGTCAAACTGCATGATCTTTGATGACTTCTTCCACTGCTTCCAGTTTTTTTACTGACATGCTGTGGAATAACTTCTGATTTACTCCTTTTTAGTTCTCTTGCACTATTCATCTGAACGGATCCCTTCATACACACATTTTGGAACAAGTCTTCGACCAACTCATGGACTTGTTCTCTAGAGTCAGAGCACTGATGAAACCAGAGATCTGTCTGGGTTCCCAACTCTGATATGGATTGTTCATGTTTCTTACCATTCATCAGCTGTTCACATGAAGACACTTGCTCAACTTCAGTGTCTAGGATCCCATCCTCACTTGACTCTTTCTCTTCTTTGGGAACCTCTGATCCAAAGCAGATGTCACCTTTTGGATCCACAGCTGCCATGTCTTCATAACTCATAAGTTTTGGGAATATATCCTGCATTGATATGCCATCCAACAAGTCATGAGGAAGATCTTCAAATATCGCATCCTTCAGTTCTGGTGGCAAGAGATCTGCTGTATTTTGAGGGTCTGATAAACAGGTGTCATCTACATCCTTGCTGCAAACTGCATCTAAAAGCTGGTCCATTACCTGTCTGGCAACATTTTCTTCTGCTGTCTTATTAGGCTGTTTCTTCAGATCTTGTGTAACAAGTGCTTCAGTTGGAAGCTGATTCATTTTTGTTCTTAAATTTTCCAAACTGTCTATTTTCTGTCCTGTACTGTTTTGACGAGAGATTATCAACTGTTGATGCCATCGAGATACTTGTTCTAGTTTCTGTTTAACCAGCTTCTGTTCTTGTGTGTGATCAACTGTGAGATTCTTTCCCATGTCTAAGATGAGCTGAGGCTCTGCAGTCTGCACTGTTGTCCTCACATAATATTGCACGATCCTCCATGGTTCCACCGATGACCAATACAGTCTTGTGCACTGAAAATCAGTAGGCACTATGATGTCACTATGATCTGATGCAGAGACAAATTCTCCGATGTTTTCAATCAGTAAAGAACCAATCATGAACTTCACTTGATAAGGTTCTGCAAATTTCTTCTTCTTACGATCTAGTTCCACGTAAATAGGACGACGGATATCAAACTCGATATCCAGGTGAAGTGGTTTTCCTGTTGCTTCTGTAAGATGAGCTGAACAGAACACTGTCTTATCATCCATGAAAGCACATCCAATTCGCCGTGCACATGGAAAATGGAAGGTCTCTGCACAATTGCGAGCACAACAACCAACACTTGCTCCCTTCTTACCACAAGCATAGCAACGAATCATGCGGCCCCTGGACACAGCACTATGAACATTCTGCAGAGAACCATCAATCTCTTCAAATACTTCAGCTGACCAAAGAGCACAGTTAGCATGTACCCATTCATTCTGTCCACAGTACAAAAGACGACCCTCTTCCACTGGCAAACCATCACCCACACCTTTACAGAGAGTGCAAGTTCGCAAATCTTGAACTGTAAACCCACTGTAGTAATATTCATCATTCTTGCCTGCTGCACACTTGGGTGTCACATGAATGGAATCTTCAGTGCCTCCTATATTTCCTGTCACATGGATCTGTTCTGTAATCAGTTCTTCATTAACTGAATGATCCTGCTGTATCTGAGTAGGAACAGACGGTAAACTTTCCTCATGACATGGTCTTCCTTCCTTCCAGTTGATGGATACTCGAGCATATTTAGGATCAAACCAGGGAAATACTTCTTTGAGTGTGTGGTGATATGTTTCTAATAAATCAGAGCTCTGAGCTCTAGCAATCAGCTGTTCCATTTCTTGATGAAACTGAAGCAGTGATGAATATTCATTGGCATTCACTTTCTTTTTAATAGAGAGAAGTGTAGGAGATGGTTTAGTTAACATATGCTGGTCTAAACAATAACATTCTTTGGTACTTTCACTAGTAACATTTTCAGACATGTCACAATTCATTTCAGAACATTTTTCTACATCAACAGAGCCACTGTTCCTATATGCAAGTTCTAGAAGTTGTGAAGACTGAACTGAAGGTGAAAACACTGCTGCTTCTGAAGTTTCTTCTTTTGTACATTCTTGCTCTTCTTCTATAAAATTTGGTTTCAATTCATCATCTGTACTGCCAATTCCAGAATCACTTGCTGGTGTAGCCATTGAAACCACTTGTACTTTAGCAGGTGATTTTGAGCTGCACTCACTAAATGTTGAATCAGGTGAGAAACCAGTGTCATTATCTTCTATTTTAACTGTGAGTGGTAGCTTTGACAGTGTTTTTGGTGCACAGTTTTCAATGCGAACTGAACACTCACGTATATTGTACTTCTCTCTGAGGTGTCTCAAGGTGTTACTTATGCTAATGTTGGAAGATAATGACTTTTCTGCAGTACTCTTTGTGCCAGCTGGATTAACTGACGCATCTTTTGTACTAGAGGAATCAGGCAAGGAACCTTCAACATTTAAAGACAATTTCTTTTCAGTCTCTGGCACTCCTGCACTAACCAAAGAATGTGTCATCGGTAATTGTGGTTGTGATACATTACTTAGGAGAGTACAAATTCTTTCAACTTTACGCTGATTTCTTTCTGTCTCATCTAGCTTTGTTTCAGGAGGATGAACTGTTATATCTGAAGAGATTATTTCATGCTGAGATGACAGTAATTCTTCCTTCTTTGAGTTAAGAGCAATTCTCATGTCTTCCCTCACACAATCTGACTGGTCATCAGTCTCAGCCTCTCTGTCAGAAATCTCTTGAAAATCCAGCCTCTTTGCCACTAAGGCAGATCTACATAAACACTGTTTTTTGGGACTCCATTTCAACATGGCACAGGCTTTACGATTCTTACTCAAAGACTTCAACACTCCAAGGTAACCTGCTTTCAGCTCCTCCTCTACAGCAAGCCACCAAGGAGCTGGAGGAATTGCACAGCACATCCTGAAATGAAAATCATTTACATAAAAATAACAGGAGACAAATTATACAAAATGTAAAGACAAAATTTATAACACTCAACCACACTAATTTCAAGCCATATATACTTTTTTGATAAGAGCTGCGTTAAGGGAATATTCAGGAGAGTTTTAAATGAACAGAGATATTTTCTTGAGCTAGAGTGTGGCAGTGTGAAAATTATTACCTGACCTAAAATTCCACTTCCTGTTTTCATTATCAACTAGGCACGTGCAGCCACATTTTCACAGTGCGCTAAAGTGAATTTACTATGTATACCCAATTGGAAGTCAATTCAAAATGTAAAACATCACACTAAAACATAGCTGCACAGAAAAAGTCATTTTGAGTTGATTTAATATTATCACTACAAACAAATTATACATGTAGACATTTACTGACTTAGTTTCTTTCCTGAAGTCACTACTAGCCTACATTCAGCTTCTTTAGTCTCACTCTGGTCTCAGCTTCTATTTCTTTACAATTCCAATCTTTTTTCTCATTCACTACTCATACTGTCCCACCAATTTCAACAGATATACAGCAGGTTTTAAATTCTTTGACTGTCACATCTAGAGGGACTTTCTTTCCTGTCCTGTTTATTTGTAAAAGACAGAACCATAACACACCTGCAAATGAACTCAACAGATTCTGGAAGATAACTCAGCACCTGGTATTTTTCATCAGATAACCCCTCACACTTTGCATGCACCCAGCATTTGCACTGTCCACATTCCATCATCTGTAATATACACAAATAAATTAGCATGAGGAACAAAGGTGACACCTGGAGGTGAGCAACAAGGACTGAAGTCGGAATTCCAAATTCAATGTTCAGTATCTAAACTTAATATTTTCACCCAAAACTTTGTGTCCAAAAAACCATTTAATTTCACTGAATTCGAAGTTCTAATGGTGGTGACTATGTTGAGTTTTTATTTCCTTGGACATGTCATGTAGTATGGTGAAAGTCAACTTTTGTTTTGAAGAAACATATTGAGTTTTCTATGTCGAAGAGTAAGCCAAACAAACTGGCCAGGGAGATGCTCTGCTTGCTGCCTGCTTCATGCTAGCTTCTTGCTTGGCTCCCTTGAATGAAGCATAATTTTATACAGACTGAAAATATGGTATTCATCTTTTTCAAATTCCTTGTCTAAAAGTAGAGGAGGCTAAATTATGTGAATAGATACAAGTTAAGATTTAATAATTTCTTTTACCTTAGTGTCATAGTCATCATCTTCATAGCACCTTTGACAGAGAGGACAATAATTTCCTTTCTGTCTCAGCTTAAAGCATATTTTGCAGAGGGGGAGATTTCCAACAAAGAGAGTTACATCTGCTGATCCACAACTTTTACAGCGTAAACAAGAAGAGCAAACCTAAAACAACATACAGAAATCTGGTAAGTGGGTGAGGGGGTAAATATTCATAAAAGGAAAGGGCCATGGAGACACTAAAGGACATTTTTTAGTCTGGTACCTAAATCATTTGATAACAGTGGGGCTAGACACAAGTAGGTTCCAATATGTGGAATACTCTTCATGCACTATGTTGTTTACAGTACCATTTTATATTATACTTGTACAAAGATTGCTGAAATTTCAATTGGAAATTCCTGAGCATCAAATCTATTGCAAACACAATTTTATGGATATGCAACAATTTCTGCCTATAAACAGGAAACTAGGACAAAAATACATAACCCCAATTAAGCAGTACATAGTTCACTGTAATCTATATAAATAAAAACGTAAATGTTGGTTTGTTCCCCCTCGAAAATCTACGAAAGTTCTTCACCGATTGCTTCAAAATTTTGACACAACATTGCATTCGAATGTGCACGTTTTTATATACCCATTATATAGATGTCACACCTGTGACAGGTAAAAACATGCGTATTTTGAAAAACAGAATTGGAATTTGGAATTCAGAAGAGTCACCCCTGTGGAAACGCTAGAACCGACTGTTGCATAGGAAGTAACAATAGCGATACTGTATCGAATCTCCATGGTTACGACGAATACATGGAGCGTTCCCACAGAGACAACGCAATAACAATGGGTCGTTGCGTAGGAATCGCGGAATCAACCAAGCAGCGTTTCCGCGGTTATAACAAGGGCTCATTTGCATAGCAGCGCTATACCCAAACACGATACATGCATTACTGATGCGTGCAACACGTCACATCCATATTGGAATTGAGCTGTGTCATTTACTATAGCGCTCATTTCGTGAGTACAGTTTTTTTTTCTTCTTTCATTGTTTTTCATTTCGTTTTCTTAACTGTTTTCCTTATTTTTCAGTGCAATTGGCGGTGGAATTGAGCTGTGTCAATTGATCTGCGTTTGAATTGAAATATTACATTAGTATTTTTTATTTTTTTTGTTTCTGCTTTGTTTTTCAGGTCGTGTTCTTTCCTTTTTAATGTTTTGCAATTTTATATGTTTTTGTAATAACTTTCTTTCTTCTTCTTCAGTGTAATCGATCTGCTTTAGTTCATCCAAATAATGCCTCGCAGAAGCTCAAACTTAGATCATCGTACTCACGGAGCGGAAGCCGTGCGACGAGTAATTGCAAATCAAACTGGGGAAGAACTGGCAGACTAAGCCACAGCAACGCGTGGCTGGGTACAGCTAGTATCAAATACATAAATCTTGTGATATACAGTGTACATATAATAGGACACTAAATTTACTGTAATACTGATAACCCAAGCACATCTTCCAGTGCCATTTAATGCTGCCATCTTCTGTTCCTATTTATAACAGCTATCAATTCATAACTAACACACAGAATCACAAGTGTTTGGTCACATCTCCTGGTCCTATTCATAACTACTTCCTACCATGATAAGTAATGACATGACAGCAAGTTCAAGCCTTTTACATACAATTGCAGCATATTCTAATAGATTATGTTAAATTACTTAACCAAGTTTTTTCAGAGTAAAATACACTGTAAAGAATTACAATGCCATCATAGAAACAGGAAATACATAAATAAATTCGCATAGGGGGGAGTGGAGACCAGTTGGGTTCACTCGGCATGTCAGCCACTGGTTGGCCTATTGTGCCTGCCCTGGGTGATCATGATGATGGAGAATTTGGGGGAATGGAGACCGGTATGGGAAACTGAAGTACTCGGAGAAAACCTGCCCCAGTGTCACTCTGTACACCACAAATCCCACTTTACCAGACTCAGGCTTGAACCAGGGCCACTGAGGCAGGAAGCCAGTGAATAACCAACCACTTGAGCTATGGTGTGCCACAGAAGCAAAAAACCTGAGATTATTTCTTCTATGGCCATATGATCTTGTGGACCGTAAAGTTTTCATCCACAGAGACCTTCATGAATGTAACTCTATTACTAACAGCCAGCAGTTGATAATATATATAATACTGCTTCAATATGAAAGTATATGTCAATTACTATCATTGACAAGCAAGACTTGTTTGTCTCTTTCTTCCTTACCCATGGTCTGTCAGGACTATGCAGCCTACCACTAAGACGATCCGCACCCAAACATTCAGTGTGGTATGTTCGATGGCAACGCTGACAACTCAACTGCTGGCCAAGACCACGCCCACAAGAATGGCAGACGGTACAACGTTGACAAACCCAGTTGTATCGCCACTCTTCATTGTTTCCATTATTACCATCAGCTAAGAAAGTGGTGTCACGAAGACCATCTTCAAGACAGAACCTATGGTAAGGTTCACAGCATGATGCACAGTGGATCAGCTGTATTAATAAACAATTTAAACATTAGTAATGATCCAGCATTTATACATATTATGAATTCTGATAAGGTAATGACAGAAGTCATCTCACAACTATAAGGTTTTCACAAAAGGTTAATCAACTCCATCCAGTGTGGTTGATAAAATGTTTTTTTCTTTCTTTCTTTCTATCAGTCATACTGGAAGGAGTTGATTAACCTTCTATAATATTGTTAATATCATGGACCAGGATGAATCAAATAAAAAATAAGGTTTTCAATTGCCTGGATTGTGGATATACAGTACTGTTTACATAATACTACAAATCTGCCTAAATATTCATGCCCTTTGGTACAGGCCAATATGAGTGGTAAATGTTGAATCATACCAACAAAATTGCATTTGCCTATTTTAACCTTACTGCTGCAATGTTCAACTGAAGTCGAACAAGCATCCATTACTCTATAATCTGATACTTGAATTTAGCCCACATTAAGAAATAACTATCTTCTTTTGCTTTGTCATTCAACTTCATCCACTGAGATATAAAAATGTATTTCTTTTGTTTTCTTTCATATTTGTGCTTTAAAAATTCTATAAATTTAAGAAAATACACAGCAAAAGGGTTAACACAGTTTTTCTTTTGATTAAGCAACACATGTTATTTAGATCTTCCAATTCAGTCTTCATTCAACAACCAGAGACCACACTGACATCACACCTGCATACAAATTGTACAAATAACAGCACCAACAACCACAGGCAGAGCATCAGTACACAAGGAATACCAACAACAAAACTACAACAGATATGTAAGGAGAAATGTGCATTGTATTATTCATCTTCAGAAAGTGAAAAAGCCAACCACTTGTATTATCTTTGCCAATTTTAACTAACTTCTAATTTTATTCTAATTTAATTAACTGGTGGTTTCCTCAATAGGGAGTTGATATAAAGAAGCAGCTCACACATAAAATATATCCCAGGATGGTCTTTTTAAAAATGAAACATGTCATATAAATAGTGAAGCAGTAAATGAAAATATGACAGTGGCAACAGCCACATGGACATCTAAACACCATGAAAGTTCCATCAGTAAGACAGAATAAACATTATGTGATCAATCAATGCAATGAGATGCTTAAATACAATATTACAAAGCATAATCTGTTTACAGCTCTGTATACACCTTATACTTAAAATGTTATACTGTTTACATATTTCACTGCAGAAATTTAACACAATGTTGCGGCTCTGAAGAGGAAACTGAATTCACACATACAATACATATACTGCATATAGCATAACAAGGATGACGCTAAGAAATTCAGTGTTAATTAACATTTTTAAGATTTTTATTTTTATTTCAAATATGAAAACATTCAGGGATGTGTAGTATTGAAATAAATGTGATATACACGTATGCACACATACATATATAATACCATAGTCTTACCTTTTCGCGACCTGCACTTCCACACAAGAAACATGTAGCCCGAACACGGAATGGCTCTGAGCCAATGAGTCCAAACCCTGTATTGCACACTTCTTCAGGATCATAACTTTCCCAGAAGTCAATAGACACAAGGTTTTGCAGTTCTGGTACAGCACGTTTCCCAAGAATTGGTAATGTTTTTGCCTGGAAGGAAACAAGATGCAATCATACATATGACATGTACCTTTTACAGATTTAGTGGCAAAGATATTGTGACGCGTTACCTTACGTCCATCGCCGCGACAACCGCTGCAGTCGGAACGGACACTTCCACGACAATGAATACGTGGAAATTGGGGAGTTTCCGCAGCGACAAATCATAGCAACGAATTGTCGTTTAGTAACAACGGATGAGATGAAACATGTTACTGGTGTATTCTATATAGAGCATTCCCATAACAACGGACTGTATGAACAGCGGTAACGGAACCGTGAGGAATGGTGTCTGGTATCCAGTCCGCATAACCCCTATATAAGCAAAGCCAGAGACGACACAGAGCATTGAGAATGAGACAATCTTGGGATAGCCGCTGCCAGAGACAGCTGAGATCCAAACACAGCCAAGGGTAATTGAGACGTCGCATTGGAGTACTGGGCCAGAAGTCAAGTGACACTGCAAGTGATAATAATTGTACGGTGTGTAAGAGTGAACGTTCAATAAAGATTCGCTAAATCCGAGACCAACATAAAGTTATTTGTCGTGTGACATACCAACACGTGACAATATATATAAAATTCTAGGTATGTGAGAATACCAAAGTTACAAAAGTTAAAATCAACCCAAACACTGTGTGGTTTTACACTGTGAGCACACATTACTTGGAAATTTTGCTTGAAACAAAAATAATTCAGCTGGAAGATATGTGACTAATTTATGTTCACTGTTAATTTAGTAGCATTTCTGTGTATAGTGTCATTGTTTTACTCATCTGTATCTTTTCCCAATTTTGTTTTGGATTTTATTACAATAATTTCAACATCTTCATTGCGAAGTATTTAAGAAATATTTACATTTAGTCATTTACCTTTGCACTGACCAAATACTTATCTACATATTTTGAAAATTTTAAGCTTGCAGGTCTTCAAATGCAGCTGAAATGATTTTTTAAATAATGGCCCTAATTACACCAGGGTACTCCGGGTATAATATTGCCAGGGATGGAAGGGTAAAGTTGGTGGCATCATCTCTGATCCCACACTTGGCTGGTCAAAGTACTATAGATGTACAGAATTCAGGTAACATAACAGGTAGGCTGTTTCCAACACTTACTTTTGCCTGCTACATGCCAGTACACATATCAGAAAACAATAAATGCATACTGAGAAACTTGTTAAAGGATGCCCATCTGATCAAAAACTTCCATATTTTACATGAAAATATTTACAGCACTTAATAAGAAGTGATCAAATTAAGATTATTATCTTCTTGGACGTAACACCATGCAGCTTGGTAGAAAAGTACCATATTTCAGAGGAACCTGTTACCTCCATCTTCATGGTAGAAGACCCTTCTACTGCAGAGACAGAGGCAGCAAGTACTTCTGAAATGTTGGTACCTTTCTACCAGACTGCAAGGTGTCAAATCCCAGATCACAACTTGAAAACCACAAATCTTACAAGTGATTAACAGCATCAATTAAATGTTCTTTGTAACGGAGGCAGTGTTTTTTGTGAGGTAAAATATATTTTTGAATGTTATTTAAACAAATTTCAGGGTTGAAAGGGATAGCATATGGAGTCCATAATAATTAAATTTCATGATGCACATACCAGAGGTGGTACTGGCAGCATTGATGATGGTGGCTGCGGTGGGACTGTTGCGGATGGTAGAGCTGAAGGTTTGATACACCTACGGTAGGTTGATGAGACTGAGGTTTCCTCATCTTGACTGTTCGATGCTGTGTCTGTAGAAGAATGAGACCTGACAGCCTCACTGCCGTCCATACTCTCAACATCAACAGATGCTGACACCATCTTTGTAGATCTGCTGGCATCCACAACACCATAACTCTGAGAATTCCTAGGGGTATCAAGGTGGTCATTTAGTTAATTCATCTCTATCCAGCAACACATATTCTGGATACAAATTGTGTTATGGTAGCTATAAACTTCAATATTTTAAAAAACACATGAAAACTGTAAAACATGTAACAGTTACTGGGTTAATAAATTAACAATAATAAAGAAATTTGATGGTCAGTGTTTGACTTAGTAAATACTAACTTTTCTGAATCATGTACTTTGACTGCAGAACTATTAGGATCTGTACAATCCACACAACAGGAACTCTTCGGTGTAGCTTTGATGACTTCTGTAACAAGACAAAATAGTATACGGAATTAGCATGTATTAAAATAAGCAATATGCTGAAACACTTAATAACTTTACATAAATTCTAAGGCCAGCAAAACATATGTTCACAACTGTAGGAAACACTGTGTAGTAATGCAAACCATTGTCAGTAAATCTGCAGTTCCATTAGGCAGCCATGCAATATCCACTCTGCGGAATACTGGAAAATGTGATGCTAACAGTATTCACATATGTCTAAATATATAAAAGCTATTCCTGTAACAGGCCTCGGAGGCCTATAGGGTTGTGAGATGTTGAGGGTCCCACATTATCCAGACAATTGGCTCAAAGATAGCGGTAAGGTTCTCAGCCTTACGCACCGGCCACACTTTACCCCCCCCCCCACAAAATTCCTGGTACTCATTTCTGTTGGAGGCTGAGTTGACCTCAGGGCCATAGTGTGGCTGGAAGGATTAAGTCAATAGAAAAAATCCAATGGCCTTATCTGGACTTGAATCTGCAACCTTCTGGCTTGTAGCATAGTACCTCAACCAATACATTACATTATAAGAACAGGAAACCCATGACCAACACAAATGGGAACTTTGCAGTATGCTGAAACAGCTTCATAACTCTGGCAAAGAAACTGCATTCAGTGGATACATGCTGTCTGTGCTATAACAAGAAATTAAAGAGTCAACCTATTTATATAGAAAGACAGAAGTACTTCACAAACGAAAACAGAATATTTTTATTCAAGTGTATAAAATAGGCCAGTTAAATTTAAAGATAAAGCAAAGTGGAAATCTCAACATAATTCTGGATAAACCTTGCAAAACATTAAATGTGTTGGTTTGTAGTAACAAAGCAGCTGCACAAGTTGGACAGGGGAATTCAACCTTGAGGTTGGCACAAGGTCGTAATCAGCATCATATATTACATGACATTTCTATTTACTGAACATAATGTTATAATGAAGCAAAATTACAGCAAATTTGCTAAGAATCTGGATAACAAGCGAAAACACCTTGACAAGACTGAACATTTTGTTATTCTGACATTCACTGACATGAATATTTCATTAAAAACAAGAATCAAAAAGTCCTCATGTTCACAAAGTGGATAAAACTTCTTTCATTTTGTAAATACAAGAACTATAAATGTAAATTTAGGATTAATTTAAAGAAATCATGATTATGGTCTTCTAGGATGTGAAGCTGTGTAGTCTGACAGACAGGTACCAATATTTCGGTGCCGTTTCGGTCTTTTAGGGTAGAAGTAATTAATCTAAAGTAGTTTATATATTTGTATCCTTACCTTGGATTGGTTTGACCTGAATTTTCTCCATTCTTTTATCCAGCGGAAATGTTGCTTGTGGTTGGCCTAAAACGATTGATGCACTACGACACACATGCTTGACTCTGGGTCCCTTCAGATCCAGTCTCTGACGACGTGTCACGTCAGAACCAGGTAGGCTGCTGCCACACTTCTGTCCACTTTTTTTCCGAACTTTAACTCCAGAATTTTTCTTTTTTCTTAACCGCTCCATGGCACATTCAGGATTATCTGAAACATAAAAAATTTTCTAAAACTGGATTTTAAGTAATAAACATCTGTACTGCAACATCCCTGTGCCAATTTCAATGGAGAATGGGCCCTTCTTCACATCTAATAGCAGCTCAGACAGTATATTCACCACCATTTATGGAACCCAAGGATTCACTGTCATACTCACGTCTACTACTGGACCTGGTGCTAGTCCAGATAACTCTAGTGCACACCCTCCTATCCTGTATCCTCAAAATCTATCTTAACATTAACCTCCATTTTATGCCTATGTCCAGTAATGTTCTTTCAGATTTTCTCATTAAAACTTTACATGTGATTATCTCTCCTCCATTCCATGCCTACTACCTAACGGTAATTTATGAAGCGTAGATTCTGAACTTCTACATTATGCAGTTTTTTGCATATTCACAGTACTGTCCTCAATATCATGTTCAAAACTTCAGATACAGTATCTTCTTTCCTCATAGCGAGAGACTAAGGTTCACACCAACAAAAAACAGCTAAAAATACAGATTCATATATATTATAAACTCTATTTTTTTAAATAAGATGGAAGATAAAAAAGTTATAAACCAGAATGGTAGTATGCATTCTCCAAATGTAATTTGTTCTAAATTCCTCATGACTGTAACTTTTATTTACTATTGTCATTTTCAAACATCTGATCTCAACAGTTTCAAAGGATTTTTTAAATGTAATGTTTGTATTACAATTCTGTCCAGCTATATGGTAATAAAACATGGACATAAATTTAGTTTTCTTTTAGTTCACCGACCACCTTACTAGCATGTAATGGAGTTTTTGGGTATGTTTTCTGTCAATAAGCTAACATCGTGAGCACAGAGTAGAAAACTGACGTCTCGTTTAATTCTTGCAGCTCTAGATTTCCTTGGACCCTAGAGTATTCTAAACATTCTCTAAGGCTTAGAGTAAAATTCAGGACATACGGGAATTCCACAATTTCCTGAGCTGAAAACCCTAGTCTCCTCAAGAAATAATACTGTTATTACTTCAAACCTTCATTAATGCATAACTCGAATAACTATTTTTCTGCTCTCAATTACAAATGACTCACCTTTAGACTTCATAAGTTTTCTGGCTGCTTTTTTAAGTATTCTATTTGGGTGCAGATGTTTTATCCTCTTACTCTTGTCAGGGCTTCCTTTTTCAGAGTTCTTTTGCTTGTCTCGCTTACTTAGTTCTTTCAGGGATTTCACAACTGTTTTCTGTTGTGACCATGCAGAAGTGTCGAACACATTTGTCCCAACTCCTTTTCCTTCAGATTTTTGGGGATAAAGATTCGATTTGCATCCAGAAGTATCCATCACTGAAATATGAGGGAACTTCTCCGTTTCCATAGGTTTACTTTGCACAAAATTAGAGGTATTTTCAAAACGCATGAACAACTGATTTCTAGATAATTTATCGAGTCCCTTTCGCATCTCTGGAGGTAGCATTAATGCCATGTTGTCACGTAAGGCTTCTGGCATGTTGAAGGAACGCAGACACATCTTGAGCCAGCAGGCTGGGCAGCGTGCCTTGTAAGAGCACCTGAACTGGGTTCCACGACCTGGTTTCCACTGCTGGCTGCGCACAATGGGTGGTACGGTACAAGTGCCTGTTAGAAAGCAAACTGTATCAATATCTTTATATTTAAGATACAAATGATCGTACTGCAGAAAGAGTGATGACTATACGAGAAGGAAAAATTAGATACATGTTGCAAAATGCACCCAAGCAGTAATAAAATCATTAAAGTCTTATGTCAATGAAAGCTTCTTGCATTTTCTTTACAACCATTTCCAGCAATTCTAAAGGGTTCTGACGATGGTGGATGACACACAGAATTATTGGGTTTTTGGACTTTTTCCATTGTCAGAATTGAATTTTTCCATAACGTATCTACACTCCAGCCTACATATGGCATGTGCTATGACCTCCGTTGTTTCCAAGCTTCCACAGGCCCTGGGCATGGAGTTCAGGTGGAAAATCAGGTCCATGTTAGAGCAGTCTAAGCCTTCCAGACCTAACATGACCATGAGGGAGTTGAAAGCCATAAAATATTTGAGGATCAACAAGGATATTAGGATTCTCCAGGCAGACAAGAGCAACTGCACAGTGGTGTTCAATGAATCCAAATACAGGTGTCCTCTATTACCTAAAACTCAATTAGTCCTCACACATCAGTCATAAATTTTCATTCCTGAGAGACAAGCTGTTGATATTTGTTCATACTTATAAATTACAACACGACAGAACTCTGGGAAAATCATCACTGAACACATTCAACTGTACAGTCAATGCTCACATTCAGCTTGCTGCAGACAGAAAAGCTACAGTACAGCAATAACATTCACCACAGGGATCTGCATAAATTTGAACATCTCAGTCCATGTAAGATTTGAGGTTTTCATGGCGGTGACTATGAAGAAGCCATCTTCTGTGATGTGATGCCATGTAGATACTGTGTTAACTGATGTTTTGGAGGTGATACATTCCTCCAGAACATCGGTTAACACAATACCTACATGGCACCACATCCCAGAAGATGGCTTCCTTCATCCCAGTCCATGTTCAAACTATCTGAGTGACATATCCCAAACATGTTCAGCCCTCATACATTTAACAGGAAGGTCAAAAAATCACCACGAATTATATTCTGAAGAAAGATCCCAGCAGACAGACACCCCACAGCAAAATATCACCACCACAGTGGTGCACGGAACACTAACACATTTACAATACGTAGTTGACACAAGGCCTAAATGGAATTAAATACCTTAGGAGACATGTTAATTATAATTTTAATCATAATTTTTATCCATTTGAGTACCAGGAATATTCTTGGGGGTAAAGGGCAGCTGACACATAAGGCTGACAACCTTACCGCCATCTATGCGCTGACTGTCTAGAAAATGTGGGAGCCTCGAAGTCTCACAGCCCTAGGGGCCTCCACGGGTTGTTACAGGGATAGCTTTACTTTACTTTTTATTTTATCCATTTAATATCAAGTTTAATGTCTAGTTTTAACTATATTTGTATCACATTTTAAAATTAAAATATAACTGTCAGCATAGATTAATCACACAGACACGATATGAATTCATATTGATTAATGATACAATTCAGAAGCTAAACAGTATTTTTCTACACCTGAGGATAACCCAGGAAAAGGGTCAAAACATGTAGTGATACCTCCAACAATGAATAAACACAAATGTTGACACAACAGTGTCTATTTTGTTTCTTTCTGATTATTTGCTGTGCGACTGCCCAAATTGCATCTATATGTATGCATATATCATGCTGTGTAATTGGATCAAAATCGTAAAGAAGGAGCTCACAGAACACATAAAGCCTACTTTCCTACTGCTGATTTACAGTTCTGTAAATGACGTGTTGTTAATATCTTATTTAGATAATGTAAGAAATAAAACCCAATTCATCTAGAAGTTTTGTGTTTTAGGCTCATATGCTAATTGCCATAGGTAAAGGTAAAGTTGTCCCCTGTGCTTAACTAATGAGGAACTATGCCATGAAGGCATATGGGGGACTGGATGTATAGTTCCACATTTTCTTGACCTTGCCACTAGCTGGAGGTGAGTGGTCAGCTTCATACCCCTGTTGCTTTATCCCCAGGGAAAGAGTCCCCAGTACCCACTGGATAGGAGGCTGGGTAGGCCCCAGAGCTGGTCTGGACGACACAGGGAAGAGATAATTCTTGACCCTACCGGGACTCTTAACTTTGACCCCTCAGTCATCCAGCCCATAGCCAGTTGCTATACCAACTTCACTATCCCATCTCCCTGATGGCCACGGGATGGAATTCCAACTATTATCAAATTATTATTCCTTGCAATTGTATATATGGGACACAGGGACTACCATTATCATCATTACTCCTATTAAGGGACTTATTAATTAACCCATTATATTGGCTTTACCCATGGTACTTGCAACATAGTAGCCATACCTGAAGAGTTCAGCTTATAGTTAACAAAGCAGTATAGCATTTTTGTCAATGTATGGCATCAATTGTAACATAATGATGTTTAGAAGAAACGGCAGGCTTTCACTTTAACTATTTCTGTTGCTGTTTGAAGGTTACTTGAGGGAAGTACTGCGGGTTTCTCTGTGCAACTGCATTTAACACCAGGAAGCTTTGGAATTTCTAGCAGGTAGCTCTATGGCTGGAACGGACAGTCTAAGAATATGACTCATTTATATTAAATATGTAAAACATAACCTCAAAACTCTGCAACATCGCCATGTATACTGTTGACTGATAACCGGCATTTCACATGGCATTTGTTGGTACATTTATCATTTATCTCCATAACAAATGTGTATATGCCTAGCTCCAATGATCTATTAGTTACTACCACCAAATTTGAAGTTAAATACAGATTTTAAGCAGCAGTCATTTTACTCTTTTTTTGTCCCCCCCCCTAAATTAAATAACAAAAGTAGCACATTTTCCAAAGATCTGTTACCATGCATTATTTCAAATCCCTATATTAAGTATTACTGCCATACCACAGATCTGTGTATTTGTCATGCTGCTATCCAACTGCAGGAAATCAGTTAGTATGAGAGGCACTGATGAATAACCCATGAAAAAATAAGTATGAGGCTGGAGTGGAATCTAATGGAATAGTATCCTGCAAAATTTCATGAAAATCAGTCAATTGGGTCAAAAGTTCCAATAGGAGACACACACAGACAGGACAGTGTTCTTATCAGCCAACTTTCTTTAATAAGAAAGGAGTGTGGGGTAATATTTATGAATTGAACTAATACACAAATCATCGTACAAATGGAAACACGACACACAGAAACAATTTAACTGTTATGTAAAAAGAAGTTCAACTGAGACTCTACCATCATTTCAGGAGCAAGGCATTCTTGATCTACATATGCAGTTTGCATGCAGTTCTTAGTGGTTACAGTTTATTACCTGCACACTTAAGAAAACATACCATATAGTATAAGAGCAGAAAGGTGTAATCCATACAACAGTGCGCAAAGTTCCCACATGCATTCTTCGCATCTTTTTTTTTTTTTTTTTNTTAAATTCGCTTAGTGGGGGTTGGAGTACAGCTGGGTCAACTCAGCATGGTGGCCACTGATTGGCCTATTGTAACCTGCCATGGGTGATTATGATGATGGAGAATTTGGTGGAATGAAGATTGGCAGGGGAAACCAAAGTACTCAGAGAAAACCTGTCCCAGCACCACTTTGTCCACCACAAATCCCAATTGACCAGACCCAGGATTGAACCCGGGCCAGCGTGGTGGGAAGCCAGCAACTAACTGCTTAAGCTATGGCGCAGTCTTCTTCGCACTTTGGTATTCCTTATGAATGTATACTTTCATAAATATCAAAACAGCCCTACAACCTCTTGCACATATATGAGCCAAAAAAAAAAGAAGGTAGTTTCTGCTACAGCTTGATTTCACTAAACTAACTTCATGGTACAGATCTTCTTGAGCAACTGATATCCATTCAGCTGGTCATGAAACTCATGCGTGTGCACATGGTTCCCTTTTTACATGAAACCTGAAGGCTCATCATGATGTTAGTAAACGAACAACATCAGAACATATCACAACACAGTGCTATCTACTCCAGACCCCAGCTATACAAGAACCATTTTAATATGGTGACATGATTCCTGAAAGCTAGAACAGTTCATTGCTAGATAACAGCTTGCTGGGCATGTTTCTGCAGCAACAGATAGGTTTGTGGGAAAACCTGACCTCTGCTATGAAATTAACACACGTTTCTGCAGCAACAAATAAACACAGATGAAAAGAACCGTTAGAAGTATCGACTTATGTTCAGTTCGCCCATAAGTTATAAAAGGGGGTCATGTAATTCATTCGAGAGTCATTCTTCATTTGTCATTCATCCTTAGTGAGCCATATGTGTTTCGTTGTTCACAATAGAGTCCAGAGTTCAATAGTTGAGTGTTCCGCTGTGGAGTGTTAACCAGCAGACAACGGAAGCTGAAGAAGTGACCAATTCGTAAATCAGAACCAAGTAAGAAACAGCAGAAGAGAAGACACTTGTAGTCCAGTAAGGAAATGGAGCGAGTCTTAAATAGTCATTGATTGTGAGCTGCTATAACTGATTGTAATAGAAGGCATCAAAAAATCTAATCATTCAGTCCAGAACCCGTTATAATTATTTATGAAACCCCAGACACATGACAATATTCATACATCTATGCCTGCATTTCCAAAGTCAAGTCAAGTGGTAATGTTTTGACTTCTAATCAGGAGGCTTCAGGCTCACATCTTGGCCAGGATACTCACTATTCTGAGATTTCTTGCTTTCCCTTAGTCCAAGGAAAATACCAGGACAGTAGCTTCAAATGGGCCATAACTGCTTTTTCTACAATATTTAAAGTTCACTGAATTTAACTTGTCCATCAGTCAATGGTAAGTAACAGCTGTGGTTGATACACTGCTCTTAAATAAGAATGAACCACCCAGCCACACTAAGCATCGAAAATGGGACTCACTGCTCGATGTTTTCTCATCCAAACTTTATATGCATGTAATATATAATACATCCGTTAATATACACAAATTTGTATCAATATCCGTTAAAGAGTGTGATTGTGTGGAAACAAAACAGAAGTTCACTAAGACTACAAATTTAAACAAGTCCAGCAGTGTATCATAAAACCTTTCAGTGAGAACGAAATAAGATTAAATTCTGTGACACTACAGTAAACCCCCAGTAGACCGAAGTAACTGGGGGGAGGGGGGGTCCAGATTAAGAGTATCTGGATTAGTAAAGCAAAGGTAGCCCTAAAAGAGAAAGAAAAAATTCAAACTCAAATAAATGGAAAATTAATAAGTAGTGCTGATGAAAGTAAATAAAATATCATTGTAGTCTCTATTTAAAAACTATTAAAGGATAATACATTTATTCATTGATAGGATTCTGAAGTTGTACTTGTTTTTGAACATAACAATGCAGGTTTGAAGAAACTGTCAAGTTTTGTCTGAACAGACAAGTGACTCATCTGCCTCCCTTAATGCCATTTGTCTCTTAAAGTATGTACTCAACTGTGGAGAGCATTTCCCATTTTTCATATTTTGATCCAGATTAGATGTAACTGGATTAGCGAGGGTTTACTGTAGATCATAAATATAAAGACACTGCCTCTCTACTAGCAATGATCCATTCTTTCCATCAGAATTACATAACAGTTTTAAAATCCCTGAATCATAATGATGCCTTATGAAATATATCTGAAATTAATATTACCAAGAAACTTATTATACTGGTAAGAATAAAACAATGGGAAAAGAAGATTAATAAATATAACAAGAGCACACATTTTATACTATAAATGTTTCCTCACCTGCTCCTTTATGACATTCCAGAACAGGCAATTTCCCTCCTTTGCTGCATGCTTGTCGTTTCATCATTTTTGAGACGAATTTTCGACATGACTCACAGCTGTAGATCCCAAACTTGCGGGCCTGTTTAACAAACCTGTAGAATCGCACAGCACCACATACTCCACAAACCACTGTCCCTGGCAAAGCGGCATTACCTGCAATATACAACATATTTCAAATTCAACGTTTAAACATAACTTGCTCTTATTAAAGAGAGCTTTCATTTTAACCAAGCCCAGTCTAGCTATTTCTGCCACGAGTCACAGATCAAGGCTACCAAAACTGAAAAATGTTTTCTGAAGAAACTTCAAACTAGAAAGAATAACGGCAGTACCCCAAACGCTGTAAATATGCTGTCTAGCAAGTGGAGTTCTTGCTACATTAACAGCCCTGACAAAAGATACCACATATAACCATATAACTGTGACAAGATTTAGAATTCTTATCAAGAGTGTTAGGTTGCCCACTCACTGCTATCTACTGCTTAGGTCAAGAATGTGTGGAGCTATACTTCAACTCTCCCACATAGCTTCATGGCATGATGCTTAGTTAAGAATATGGGGTGACTGCCTTTACCCTTGGCTACTATTTTGTGATAAGGACAACTGAATATTTTATCAGATAATCACAAATGTCTACCTGATATGAACATCATAAGAAACAATACACCCATTTACCATCTTAATATAATAATTATTATTTATTATAATGTACCAATACCGATGGCTGAAATTATGTCAAATACTGTAAACTGTCTATGGGAGGAGCATATAATGACATACTAATCCAGAACTTTTCAAAATTTCTGATGCAGGATTCATTACATGTTATTTTGCAGTTTGAATCTCATATCCACTGTCATCACCCATGTGACATTAAATATTTTATTTCCATCCTCTCATGGTGGCATTACTTTATCTGTATTATAACTATGGACTGGATTTTTATGCCCTTATAATCCATTAAATATGCATGCATTTACGCATGAAAACTTCCGAAATATGCACTAAAATATGGACATAAAAATTTATACCAAATATTAAAATTGATTTTACATTATTTTAAGATCAACGAATCAATATTTAAGTTCATTTTATGTAATCACTGAATCGTTCATTTGCAATAAAAGGCTATACTTAAATACAAATCATGCAACAAAGCCAACATATTTCATTACAAATTTAAAAAACCATTGGTACTCACATTTAGCCCTCCAAACTTTCAACTTCTCTTCTGTTGCAGTTCACAATTACTAAATGTTTTAGGTTTTCCATAGTTAGTCGCCTCCTATTATCTCATAAGATGTCCTTATAGTGGGAAAAACTTCTTTCCACCTCACAGGAACTTAGGGGCGCATGTACAAAAGCCACTATTTGTCCACTGTTAGTGATATTTTACTTGGCAGTTCAGTATGTTTACGAGGATAAAATTTCTTCAATTTCACAAAATTTGTTCTTATTCTGGATTTTTTTAAAGAATGCTGTGTACTTTTTCCTTTACTACCTCACCTACTCTTCCAGGAACCGAATTCGATTTGGAAACAGTGGTTTTGAACACACTTAATGACTGATACAAAGTAGTATTGCTATTGCTTGCCTCCAGTGAGGAAATGGCAGATGGAAGATGAAATACGTGAGCAGATATATAGGAAAGATTAGTTTCTAGTTCTGCGCTTTTTAGTACATCTTGAGAAATTTGAATTGATGCTGCACTTTTTGGATCAAATGTATTCTCAACATTCCTAACTGTTTCTAAATGTTCGGTATAACAACTCGCTGCACACAGTCACGTGCCCCAGCGCATTAAAATTGGTTCTGGCGGAAGTGGAACGCTCGGTGCTATTGCTTTAAAGGCTTCTTTTCTGTATGGCACTTTAACAAATACCTTCTTCACAGAAGACACCAACTTGTCAACAAGTGGAAAATTTGCACGAATTGTTTCTGCAACATGGTGCAACCCGTGGGCAAGGCAAGTCAAATGTGTCATATTTGAAAATATAACTTTAAGAGCAGTACCGGCTTTCATCATATATCTTGCGGCATCAGTCACAAAGAGCAGTACGCGCTCATACTGAATGCTATTCGGCCACAGTAAATTCATGGATTTGATAAAAAATCTGGAAACTGCGGAGCTATTTGTGGTTTCAAATTGCTCTACTGCAAGAAGATATGGGGTAGACTGTTCATTCTTATTAAGGGATCCAACCATACAATTTGCAATAAACCGTCCCTCACAATCTTGTGTTTCGTCGATTGATACCCACACAAAATTATCTTGAATCTTATCTCTAATGCTTTCAATTGTAAGATCGTAACACTGTTTCACATAATTTTTGCGCACAGTAGATTCATCCGGCACTCTGCACTGTGTATACTTCTCTATGAAGTTTCTCAGAGTAGGATTAGTTAGTTTCCACAGCGGAATATCTGCCGCTAAAAAGGCTTCGCATAAATCAGAGGAAAACTGTGAAAAACTATTATTAGAAAATTCACTAAGCAATTTTTGAACAGGAGCACTTTTCGTGGATTTAATTTTAATATTCTCTTTCTGTATATTAGTGTTCAAATGCTGAAGCACTTGAAAGCGTTTTTAACAACCAACTGTTTTCTCTCGGCAATAAAGAATTTCGTTATCCGTATTTATCATCTCTCCTTCGAATTCCCGCTGATACAGCTGTAATTTAGTTTTCGGACTTACTTTCACTTTCGGCATGACTACAGAAAGCTAAACAAACTTAACTACAGACTAGTCACCACTAATGTGAATGGGCCCCAGCTTCAAATGAAGAAGCGTAACGAACCTCACGGAGACTTCGGAAATAAATAAGTGAAGTCCCTTATCGGTTGGATAGTATTACGTTGATAGCGGCTACATGTGNTCTTCTGACTAATTTCTTCGCGGCCACTTTGATGGTACGCGGATGAGGCAAGTTACGACTACAGGGATCGAGGTTGAATCGTATTACATTGATAGTGGTTACATGTGAATGCTTCCGACTATCTCTTCGCAGCCACTTTGATGATATGCAGATTGGGCAAGTTACAAGTACAGGGATCGAGGAAGTCCCGTGACATGAATCATGACGAAATGTTGAGTCAAATATGCAACATATTCTAATACGGAAAAGAAAAATTGTACACACATGACCATAATTGAAAACATAAAATTAAAATATATTACAACATTTTAAAAGGGAAATATGCAGTATAAATAGAGATCTTCGAAAATATGATGCTTATTCATAAAACAGGCAAAATATGCATTTATATGCACCATCAAATCATGTCCAAAATTTAAGAAATGAAGTAATTCATACATATATCCAAACGAGCATACTTTCTGGTTGCAAGAAAGAAATATGCATTTGTATTAAAATCCGGTCCCTAATTATAATCAAATGTTTCAGCTGTTGGGTAGAACTTCTGCTTAATATTCAGTAGGCTTCAGGTTCAAATATGGGCTTCAAGACTGCCTATCTGACTGAAATTATTCATGGTTTTCCTCAGTCCCCACAGCCAAATGCCAGAATGTAACAGAAGAGACCACTTCTTTCAACAACCTTTTCAACAAATTATTCAATAATCTAGAACATGATGCCATATAATCAGCACTACTGAAAGAATTGTTAAATGAAAATAAATTGTGTTTATTGTGATGACAGAAGTGCATGTGACTACAGAATGGCTAATGATAGGAAACCATACTAAATGTTATTAGTAACAAGCACCTTAATTGAACTTTTATGCATAGTTTCATGAAAAAAGAAGTTCATGGTGTTCCTCAGATATAAAAACATGAATCTGCCTTACAATCAGTGACTCAGCAACCATAACAAAAAAGGAAAGCTTAACAGATAGCTCTCAAAGTTGGTAACAGAAAAGTGCTTTCATTTCTATCAAAAATCTTTGTATTTCACATTTTGCAATTTCAAAAAGCTTTCAGAGAAATTTTTATCATTCACCTACTTGTGCTATTATTTGGTTTCACATGCATGTCTGAACAGTGTAAAAGCACTTCAAAATGCAAACATGCCATCTTGAATATGTATTGCTTTGTGCAGGACTGACAGACTTGAGCATAGCAATTGGCAAGAAGCTAGCCACAGGCAGAAGGACCAGGACCAATGAAGCTGAAGTGAAATTTGACTTTTTATTTACTTCAAATATTATTACCATATGAACTTCAGCTATGTCCAGTAACAGATTAGGTTTCAGCTAGCGTAGTAGGTGCAGTCTACTATTTTCTATGTAAAACATGATTTTTATTGTATGTAAAAATATAAAATATCGCACATTTCTATTCTCACTGAGGCTGCCATGTTCAACTGTTATGTGTAAAGTGAAAATTGTATGTGAAACAGCAGTCAGAATGGCAATCACGGCCATGTGTGTGAGCCCATGCATCTACATATCTACAGCCAAACAATTATGTAAGTTACTTATGGCAACCAGTACTACTTTAATGTACCATACCACAAACTTTCACCAAATTCAGATGTTGAAGATATAAAAAATACAAACAAAAATGTTTGTTTTTCATAGTACAACTGAATATCCGCCAGTGTAAACTTTGAATGACTTCAAAACAATATGCATGCAAAAGATATAACTAACTGGTGACCAAATTGTAATCACATACTTTAAACATATCTTAATTTGGCATACATTCCCACTGCATACCTACCAGAATTTATATTTACAGAAAATGGACCATCAACTCCAGGTGATGACTGAGTACTGAGCTTTAAGCGAGCCTTGCGGAGAATAACCTTGCCACTAGTGAGTTTTGATCCAGTCCAATGAGAGTTGCTTTCTGATTTCACCTCACTGTTTGTAGGTGCAACAAGTCTTCCACAGTCACTACTATCTGTCGACCCTGAATGCAACTCTTTATCTGAAGCGCTACGGATACTCCTGGTCGAGCCAGAACTGGAAGTATGAGTTCTCTTTGAAGGAAACCTATTAGTACCTGCTCCAAACACGTTTAATTCACGCAGTTTTAACTGCACCTTATACGATGGTTTCCACCGGCGTTTTCCTTCAACAATAAGTGAATTCTCCTGGGAATAAATGTGTGGGGAAAGACTTCTATTGCTACCATCATTGGAGTTGTGACCAGACAAAAGTTCAATCTTTTCACAATTCACGCCATCCTTCATAACCTGTTCAAGAACATTGACATCAGTTACTGAAACATCCTTGTCACTCTTTGGAAGTTCAGGATTCTTAAGGGGGTCTAGGATCAACCTTGGTTTCTTGAGCTCTATTACACTGGGAGAACGGCTAACACTCACATCACTTAATACTTCTTCTGTCTCAATAAACCGTTTATTTGGCTTAATAACACGTGATGAATGGACACTTCGTGAGGGAAGAACAAATTTTCGAACTGCACCATTTCCTTTTTCTTGTTGAAAATTATCTACTGTTGCAACAGATCCATAACTGGATGATTTCTTAGCTTTCTTAAGAAGTTTCTTTGCAGCTTTATTTTTTAAATGACTTGGGTTCACTGGTGGACTTCTTGAGGTTAATTTTTTTGGTACTGAAAGGTCTCTCTTTGAGTTAATTTTACCACCACCATCAAAATTATGTTGCACATGGGTCCTACTTGTAATAACATCCTGTTCTGAAGAGCTATATGGTACACTGAACTTTGTATGTGAAAGTTCTTGTTCAAAATTTTCTCTTAGTGAAACATTAAGTCCATTTGCTTCATACTCAGATATAACCTCACGCTGCTGCTTCCTTGCATATGCCACTGCTGCTCTTGCTTCTTGTGCAGAGAAGCCAACAAATTCTGTTACCTGTACAAAAATAAAATCATGTATATAAGTAAGTGATCCTCCCTCCCAAATATTATGTGCAGGTCATATATAAGCAAATACCTTCAGAGTGCTTGACACTTAATGATAAATGACATTTGAGATCGGCTTGATGTTGTTCTATGGCGAAATAATACACACAACGTAAAAATTACAGCAATTGCACTTATTAATCAAATAAGTACATGTGCGGAGACACTGAAAGTGTTCACACATAACAACAAGAATAATTAAAACCACTATAGCATTATAGCTTCATGCCAAACCTGCTGTAGGCCTACCTGTTCACTTCCAAAAGCTTCATTAAAAACTGCAAGACCGAAATAAATATTTTCAGCGGCTTTGACCGAATCATTTTCTTGTGATGGAGAACACTTTGACGCTTTAACCCTTTTCCTATTTACAATTTTCGAAGGTTTGCCAGGAAATTTTCCCATGTTCTTTCACTTTCCTGCACTACTATGCCCACAGTGTTTCCATTTATTACACAGACTCGCATCAAACAACAAAACAGCGCGGGGTCTCTTCGTTTCTACGCAATGCGTAGCATTCAGCTAGCAGGAGGATCATAGCTGACTGACAGCCAATCGATGGATACCGTTTTCGCGGTAATTTTTTGAAGTGCAAAATTTAATTCCGAATGGATGCACTTAAACCCAGTAAAATCTGGACTACAAGCTGATAATAATATTAATTTATTTTAAAATTTATTCGTATGTAGGAAACAACATTCATTGAACTGTTAATTCCATAGAAATCAGCAAGGAATACAGACGTAACAAATTCGTTCAATTTCAATGTCGGCCATATTACAGATTCTCTTAGTCTATAGCATCTTTGGAACTGGGCTCTGCGGTGTAATTAAATGCTATGCATGGAACACTGAACGCATGTTAAGTGGTGCACAATCCCGATCACGGATCAGTACATAAATCTAAACTATGTGTATCGCTTCAGTAACAGCATGAATGCATTGCGAAGGTGCTTTAATAGTATGACATTTGATGGTTATAGATCAATCCCTTTGGTTCTAGTAATTTTTTATTGCTAGTGGGGTGGGACTAGGTCCCTTGTACTGCGGCCACTTCTGTCCTATTGTACCAGCCCCAGATGATAGGTGAGGGTGAATGTTGAGCAATTGGTGGAATGAAGATTGGCAGGGGAAACGGAAGTACTTGGAGAAAACTTGCCCCAGCGCCACTTTGTCCACCACAAATCCCATTTGACCAGACCCGGGATCGAATCCGGGCCGCCGCGGTGGAAAGCCAGCGACTAACCGCTTGAGCTATGGCGTGGTCCCTTGGTTCTAGTAAGTAGGATGTGGAACAAGTCAAATGCAGATTTCCCTTAAGTAAAATGGTTGCAATAAGTACAGGCAGCTTTAACTTAAAAACTCTTCATTTTACCCACAACATATATTTATGAGTTTCATATGATTGTCTGAATAGACAGTAATTATTTCCGTCAACATTAACCGCTTGAGCTTTCTAATAAGAGATCTATGTTTCTTGTATGATTGGAATTAAATTTATCAGCACTGTTTATATGATTTCAATGCTTCATAGGGTCAGGCTATATTATAGTACATTCAGAAATTACAGGGTTTAGAGTGACAGTCTGTTTCCACAAAATGTTTAAGTGTACTATTTTTGAATTGGTGGACACACTTACATGAAAATATTCACATGCACCTTGATACCAAACTTCTTACATACCATGGATCATTAAATATTTTCAGCATTCTTATGTATTAAATGCCTAGACTTGAAACTCTACACTTATTCTGGCCACTGCAAAGGAGTGGTGCAATGAAAGTATGCCCTGCCTGCTCAGACATTCAACCAAAAGTGCTATCTCCAAGTTTTGGAATGTCTGAGACAGAGGTTTCATCATTTGAAACCACAAATGCTCTCTTGACAAGCAGATCCTGCACTGACAACCTGCCCTCATACAAAGTACTCTCCAGCACAGAGTTTTTGGTGAAAAAATTGATCATATGACCCCAGTCACTAATCAGGTTTTGCTCTATGTGACTTCTTCCTTTTCCCTGTTGTCAAGAATAATTTCAAGGATCACATTCTGATACAATGGAAGACACCAGAAGGTGTCTTGGCCATTCTAAACTTTCAGAAGAATGACTCCAGGAAGTGCTTAGACAGTTGAGGAAAGGCTGGTTCTTGTATAGCTACAGGGAGGAAATACATTAGTAGAGACCATTGCTGTTCAGAATAAAATTTTATATAATGCTGCCTGTGAGTAGCCCCATTATTTGTGAGACCTTGTGTTGTTCACATTTCTGTAAACTAGGATTAAATGTACATTTTATGAATAGAAGATAATGTACACTGCTCACAAAAAAAAGTGTGTTCATTTCAAATAAATTCACTAATTGCTAGAAGTCAAGCAACTCAGACTATCTTTGTCGTAGTTAAAAATAAACCGGTTTAATTTCTAAGAGTTATGATCCTGCATGTCACAGTAAATTTATATGTAGTCTGGTTTTCTATTGTAAATGTAAGTGATCTGTTTATACACATTCTGGGTCCTAGTTTATGTGCTACCAGATGATAGCTCATTTGGTCTTGGGGTATCACAGTAATTATAGATTTGTATTTTAGTTTGCATTCATTAGTTTCTTACATATATTTTGTTATTTATCTCACGTTAATACAATCTTATGTAATATACTGGCAATTTCTATATCAAATGGTTATGTACCTGAATGGATCGATGAATGATTGTATTGTGTTGTATTTATTAGCATTCATCCATCCATTCAGGTACATGATCATTGGATATAGAAATTGTCAGCAGATTACATTGATAGTTACATAAGATTGTCTTAACATAAAATAAATAATTAAAATAGATATAAGAAATGAATGCATGTAACTAAAATACAAAGCTACAATTACTGGGGTACCCCAAGGTCAAATTTATTATATTATATTTAAGCATCCTGTTGCGACGTGAGTGTTATACACCAGATGATGGCCGTCTGAGGCCGAAACATGTAGTGTAGGGGAACAAGATCAAAGACACAAAATATATTGTTTGCACTTGAGACAGAGTTTGTATCATTATATCAAATTTATTATTCCTATCAAAATATTCAACTGAATAAAAAGAGTTTTCTATAAGAAACTTTCTCAATTTATGTTTAAATTTATTAATATCATGTGCAACTCGCTTAATATTGGGGGGCAGAGAGTTAAATAAGGTAATACTAGAATAATATACTCCTTTTTGAACTTTAGTTAGACTTACTAAAGGAACATGAAAGTCCAATTTTTGGTGGGTATTTATTTTATGCAAGTCAGTATTTATTGTGAAAAAATTCTTATAGTAAAAACAAATAAATTGCTGCTACTGCTATCCGTTGACAACAGTAAGGTAATGACAAGTTAACACTGCTTAACACAAGTAATTCGAGGAACACCACAGGAATCCAAAATTCTGATTCCTAATTAAACGTCTGTATCCACAGTCCGTCAATAATGCAACAATAGCTTATTCACCATTTAACACTTGACACAACATGTTTCAGCCATAGATGGCCATCTTCAGGTGTCTTAAGGCATCCAAACTGTTACACTGCTCTGATGTCCACTAAAACCACACGTTGCAGTCCACTTAAAAAGAATATTTTTTTATAAAATCCTATTCCACCTCATAAGGGGTGTTGTCCACTTGTTTAGAGCTATGTGATTACTCCAGAAGGTTTGTTTCTGCAGCTTGTTTTTATGTTCGTTAGCCTGTTGTTCTGTTAAGTCTGCAATTTGCAATATGCCCCTTGCTTGTGTGTTGTTCCCTCTAGCAGCATGTGATGTGCATTTCACTAGTGTATTAATAGAAAATGTTGATGGATTTTAATTAATAATTTATACTATTTTAAGTGGACTGTAACACTCGGTTTTAGTGCACATCAGAGCAGTGTAACAGTTTGGATGCAATCAGACACCTGAAGATGACCATCTATGTCGAAATCATGTTTTGTTAAGTGTTAAATGGTAAATAAACAATTGTTGCAGTATTGACAGACTGCGGATACAAAGATATTTAATTAAAGATTTTCAACAGGATGCTGAAATACAGAATTGTGATTCCTAGTTCTGTTATATAAAGGCTACTAATCAAAACTAATTATGGTACACACAAGACATACCTCAATGTGCTCAATAAATTTGGTCCATTCAAACTGCTACTGCAAATACTGTGGCATTTTTGACTGCCTGTGGTATTTCGCCAAACCCAATTTTTTACAAAGCAGCAGCTAAAATTGGTCTGAAATGGGTAGTTGCTTTTTATATTATATATTAAATGCTCAAAAGTAACATGTGCTTTGATAGCCTGGAGACTGGTGTTTAATCTTTATCCTAGGGTGCAAATGCCTTCTAAAGGGATAAAAAAACTCAATATTTATAAAATTCTGAGCCAGAGAGGTATGTGAAGGACAGTGTGGTTGCAAACTGACATATTTCTTTCTCTAAATATGCACTTCCACTTTCACATTTTACAATTACCCAGTGCTGAACCTTCATTATTCTTCACCATTTCAGGCGTAATTAGAATTTTGGAAGTCTATTATTTTTGAGGGGTTCATAAGTGTTTTCTTCAGCTAGATCATTAATGTCAATTTTTTTGATGGGGATTCTATTAGAGGTCCATTACACAATGTATTCTTTTCAGTTTTTTCTACAGTTACTGTATATATATAAATTTTTTATTGGTTGAAAATGTAATTCTTTTGTGAAGTCTATTATAAAACATATTGTAGCAAATATTAACTTCTTTCATTTCGTCTCCTTCGAAGTTTTACTACCACATGGTAAACTTCTGCAATTTATTCACAGTTGTTCGTGGGATGTTAGGGATGCACTCTATTAATACATTATGACCACACAAGTGAACAGTCTTTTAGTATCTTGTATGTTGTGCGTTCAAGTTCTAAGGTCTCCAATTTTTTTTCTCACACAATAATCATACAAAAGATTTGAAACTTCTGTCACTTTTCAACGTAATCTCCCTGCAGCCATACACATTTTTCACAAGGTCGACATCGTGATTCCATGGCCGGTATGAACGCTTCTGTAGGAGTCTGTTTTGACCACTGGAAAATCGCTGATGCAATAGGGGCACAACCGGTGAATGTGTGACCAAACAGAGTGTCTTTCATTGTTGGGTAAAGCCAAAAATCGCTAGGAGCCAGGTCAGGTGAGTAGGGAGCATGAGAAACCACTTCAAGGTTGTTTTCATGAAGAAACTGCTGCGTCGTGTACACCCGATGCACTGGTGCAGTGTCCTGGTGAAAGAGCACACGTGCAGCCTTTTCCGGCCATTTTTCTTGCAGTGCTGGAAGGAGCTTGTTCTTCAAAACATCTTGGTAGTATGCACCTGTCACCGTAGTGCCCTTTGGAACGCAATGATTAAGGATTACGCCATCGCTGTCCCAAAACATGGCCACCATCATTTTTTCAGCACTGGCACTTACGCAAATTTTTTTTGGTGGCGGTGAGTCTGTGTGCTTCCATTGATCTGACTGGCGCTTCGTTTCAGGATTGAAAAACGGCATCCATGTCTCATCCATTGTCACAATTGATGAAAAGAAAGTCCCATTCATGCCTTCATCACGTGTCAACATCGCCTGGCAAATTACCATGCGCGCAGCCTTGTGGTCGTCCGCCAGCATTCGTGGCACCCACCTGGAGGACACTCTCTGCATTTGCAAGTCTTCATGCAGGATTGTGTGCACAGATCCCATGGAAATGCCAACTTTGGAGGCAATGTTTTCCACACTCAATCGGCGATCCTCCAAAACAACTTTCTCAACTCGCTCGACCATGTTGTCAGACCAGCTGATGCAAGGCCGAGATTGTTTTGGTTCGTTGTCACGTGACGTTCGGCCTTCTTTGAACTGTCACACCCATGAACGCACATTTTTCACATTCATGACACCATCACCACATGTTTCACTCAACTGGTGATGAATTTCAGTGGGTGTCGCGCCACGCAAGTGGAGAAAACGAATGATTACTCGCCGTTCTTGTAATGAAAACGTCGCCATTTTAAGTATCAAAAACACTCCTCACTCCCGCCGCCACTACTAGAGTTCTGTGTGCTGTACAGTGCTGCCATCTCTGTCACACATTCACAAAGAGTGCACACGCATTTTAAACTAAACCGCATGTGTCTATCTGCTCTCAGTCCTGAGAAAAAAATCGGAGACCTTAGAACTTGAACGCCCCTCGTACTTTAGCATCCCACTGTTTTTTTTCTGTCAGTGCCATGTTTCATTAGTCTACATAACTTAAACTTGGTTGTGTGGATAGTAATAAAATATAGCATCAATGGAATAGAGTATTACTATTAGTATTATCAACAGGTGAGGGTGTCGATTCTGCTAGAAGTCCCCCTCCCCCAAGATGATTCTTCAATCGCACAAGCCGAATATCACGGTCAGTGGCGTTTCTCGGGGGAAGGCCAAACTTATCAAGGGGCCCAACTGAGTTGACTGGAGGTGAAACATTCACAACACTGGTCAACCAAAGGGAAACAAAGATGTCGTGTGTTTCGCTAAATAAGAAAAGCAGGAACACACTCTTCTATTGTAAAAGCAGTGGTGTCACTCTGTGTGAGGTGGACTGCTTCGAGAAGTGCCACACGCGTCAGAGTGTATTGTAAACTGTGAAGTGACGCAGTTCAAACTCGTGTACAGTCTGAACAAAATATTATTGTATATAGTGTGACTATATTTACAATATCACCATGATTCAAGCTTGCAGAAAAAAAACAATGGGTAAGTGCTTTGGAATTTCATAACATATATATAAAAGATTATATTTTGCATTTCATGATAAAATAATCACAGTTAATTTTCGTTTGTAAAAATTGCTCTTTTGAGTACATGTAGAAAATTTTATTGTCTTTCAGACTCTTTTTAGTTCATATTTCTATGTTGCATAGAACGGAAAATATGTATTTTTTTCTGAAAGTCTGCAATGTTAATTAATTAGGGCGACTTAAATACCGCTGCAGAGGGCTCCCAGCAATTTAAAAGTCCGTACGTTAAAGGTTAAATTATACAGTAACATGAAGAAGATTTTCCATATGACCATGGTATTAATTTTTCCTGTACTACTGTGTTTGTTTCACTGTAGTGTCTTCAAAATATTGAAAAAGTCTTCCTGTAGCCAGGCACCTGAAAAAAACTGGGCAACTCTGCACTGAACAATAAAATTAGACCATTACAAAAACTTAGAGATGTCTTATTTTGATATAGCTGTAGAAATGCAGATAATACACACTGCAAACATGATTTTCTATTTCACCATTTTACATGTACTAATATATCATGAGGATACTGTGAGAAATTAACTGTAAACAAAGACAATTTGATTTAAAAAATTTGTGCTAGAGACTCTAGTCTTGATCGGTAAGAATATAGGATTCCAGCATTACAGTCATTCTTCTTTTCTTTTCTTTTTTGAAAAATATCCCTATAAACACATACAGAATTTATACATGACAACAATTACAGTGTTTAAATCCAAATTACTATGGAACACAATGCCACGAGACTGCAGATGTTTCATACACTTTCTGTATTTATGAGTTACAAACATTAACTAGCTGCACACCAGACCTGTAAAAACAAAATGAAAATGGTTGGATTTGAGGTTCTCACAGCAGACTATGAAGAAGGCAGTATTCTGGGGTGTATCACTGTGTAGTCTGATAAAACTACTACCAAACTACACGGCATTACAACTCAGAAGACTGTACTCTTTAAAATGAAAATCAATTTATTATTATTATTATTATTATTATTAATAAGCACTTCCTTTTAACATCTATCTGATTATTCTGTACGATCTAATCACTTGATACTATATACAGTGTGACAATTAAGTTCCTGAACCAAGGGCATGAAAAATAAACAAAAAAGATAACAATGTATTAATATCATCACTCAATATAGACCCAACCAATTCCACACATTTATATCACTCATATGACAAATCAAATGGCCTTCCCATATCACCTTCAGTTCTCTTGTCACAGTCTATCAGATTGACGAAACTGCCTAAAATCTCATACCTTTCATTCAGAAAATAAAAATGTGAGCCAGCACTAAATCGGGGAACAGGGTGGATCTGATAACTTGGGGATCCCTTGTTTAGCCAAAAACTCGGAGACAACGCCCGAAGAATGAGCCGGTGCATTGTCACGCAGAAGATACCAAGACCCACTTTCCTGAAACTCAGGCTTAACGCGAAGAACTCGAGTGATCAATCTCTTAATCACCTCTTTACAAAATTTACCATTTACAGTTTCTTTTTCTGGCACGATTTCATGAAGAATGATACCTTTAGCATAAAAATATGGAGTCAACATTGTTTTCATCCACGATTTTTGCGTTCTCACTTTCTGGGCTTCTTTGAGCCTTTTATGCCTTTCAAACACACTTGTTCTTGATAAACATTCTTCATCATGCACACTTTTAACATTTCAAACGTTTCAGTAGCTATTTTCTTTAATTTTACACAAAACTTAATCGTTGCTCTTTGTTCCATTTTGAAACCTTCAACACAACAAAAAACTAACTTCACCAAAACAACTGTAATTCTCATATGCATCAAACAAACATGTTGATATTTGCACATCATGTAAATAAACTTTCTAACTAGCCCTGTTCATCCCCAATAGATGGCATTAATAGTATTACTTTAATAGTGGCAGTTCAGGAACTTAATTGTCACATTGTCTATAATCTGAGCTACTGAATGAAGGAATATATTTGATTGGAGGTGTTCATGGCAGCAAAAATAAAACTGTGGTTTTCTGGCTTATGACACTGTGTACTTTTCAGTGGTTCTCATGTTTTGAACCAATATACTGCCTCCACGGGGCAGGAGGTTTCTCTGAAATACTGGTAAGCACTTAAAAATGTACAGTGTCATACCATACAAGACCAAAATCTTAATTTTTGCAGGAATGTTTCTTAATGAGAAAGTGAGGACACTAGTGTTTCCAGCAGTGAACTGTGAAGTGCAGAGATCAGCGGTATCACTGTAATTGCCTGTAGTTCAGAGTAGTGTGTATAGAGTGTCAATAAGTCCAATCCAAAACCCATCTAATAGCACCTCTACACATGACAATATGTTTGTATTCAATGCAGCAAAAATTTATAGGTTTAAGTGAGTTCTTACCAAGATAGTCATCCATTAATGTTCCAATGGCAAACTGAAAATAAAGAATTTCATTAAATCATAAACCATTCCTTGCAATTTTGATGCCTCAAAATAATTATATGATTAAAACTGGGGTTTTCACAGTACAGAAAGGTTATGTCCACTTCCATTTAAATTTGAATGAACATGAAGCAATTTCTTTACTGACTTCTATTAATTTACACTTATAAGGAAAGGGAAACTGGAGGGTAAGATCACGGAGTGGTTCATCATGTTATATATTCTTACAAAAGGTGGAGAAGATAATCCTCAATCCTAGAAATATTTTATGTCATCACTCATCACATTTTGTAAATAGTAATTAGAAGAGCAAGTTGAAAATAGTTTCACACATTAATAATATTGGTTTTATTCATCTTCAATATGGAATGAGCCTTAAGCTGTCAAAATAGAACCTAAAAATGTTAATGTAAAACTCAAACATATAGGATCTTCTAATTAAAAGACTTTTCTTTTGTGGCGGATGCCTGAGGTTATTGTCTTGGGGTCCACTGACCCAGACAGGTAGAGGAATCTATTTCTGAGGTCGGTCACCAATGAAGTAGATTCAGCTACTGCCACTGATAAAAGAATGGCTAAGATAGTGCTTTGAGCCATGGTTGGGATCTGGTATTCTCCACATCCCTCAAGTCAGAACTCAAGGCTTTCATCTGTGCAGAAAGAAATCTTCACTCAGATCTGCATCATTTTGAACATGAATCCATTCTCACCATGAAATAACGTGATATGATAAATGTTACATTATCTTTTGTAATAAAGTAAGAAAGTAAAGGTATCCCTGTAACAGGCTGTGGAGGCCCATAGGGTTGTGAAATGTTGAGGTTCCCACATTTTCTAGACAATTGGCTCATAGATGGCAGCAAGGTTGTCAACCCTAAGTACCGGCCACCCTTTACCCCCCAAGAATATTCCAAGAATATTCCTGGTACTCATTTCTGTTAGAGGCTGAGTCAACCCTAGGGCCATAGTGTGGCTGGAAGGATTAGATCAATTGAAAAAAATTCAATGACCTCATCGGGACTTGAACCCGAGACCTTCTGGCCTGTAGCACAGTGCCTTGACCAGACAGTTGTTTAGTTATAGATGGAGTATCAAGATGGGGACAATTTTGTAATGATGCAAAGCTTCATAATTTATACTTACAATGCCCGATGCATCAACTCTTGTACCTACAATCTTCAGACGTATTTCATCATCTGCCTGGATAACAACATCCTGCAAACAAATCGATTTCTTAATTGGAATGGAAGATCACGCTCACAAACAGCATGTACTATTAGTTCTGTGTGGCTTTTGTGATATGATCATTATAGCTGTATTTTCATTGATTATCCTTAAATCACACTCTGTTTTGACACTGAGACATATATTCCATTCCATTTTTTCTCCTTAAAATCAAAAGAGCCACACAGTACAGTACTGAGCAATTCTGATTACATTCAACTGCATCACTCAACTGTGTCAACTGCTTTAGTTTATACTAGCATTTCTCAAACTGATACCAGTGCCTCTACAGATACCAAAGCAGAATGTCAGAGATGCTAGTCCTCATTTGTGCTTTTCAGCAATCCCACTGCAAACTGTTATCTGTGGGTGTTATTTTTATTTTAAATCAACTGAGAATAAGATGAAGATACAAAAATAAGTTACAGGTAAAGTAATTCTTGCACTTAATTATGTAATTCAATCCTATGCCATGAAGGCACATAGGGAGTGAAGGTATAGCTCCACTATTATTGACCTTGTCCCTAGTTGAAGGAGTGGTCAACTTTTGCCACTGTATCCCTGGGCACAGGGCTCCTGGCACCCACTGGAGAGGAGGCTATGTGGGTCTCACAGCCAGTCTGGACACTAGGGAGAAGATATGTTTGGGAATCAAGCCCCTGTTGTCTAGCCCGTAGCATAGTTGCTATACTGACTGAGCTATCATACCTCATGATATAAAGCTAAAATTGTTCATTTAGACTGTATTATAAGAACATAAAAAATTAAGTCTATTTCCATGGAGTCCCTACAATTGTTTAACTGTTTCACAGAGACTCAAGCACACGGACAAAAGACCAATTTTATTCACCAATAAACATAAAGGTGGGAAAAGAAAAGCTCATATGTTGCCTGAGTTTTCTCAGATGAAGAGTCAGTTGACCTGGAACCCCCCATGAACTAAAATTTACCACGACATTTTGAAGCCCCTGTATGTGTAAGTATAATTCCATATTTCTATTAATAAATTACATCTTAAGTTTCTTAATGATATTAAAGAAGCATTACATACTCAAGCTGGTTTTTAAATCAGCACTATACAATCCCCTCAAGTGGTATTTTACACTGCTGTGTAGCACCCTGTTCAATTTTTGTTTTGCACAATTTTGATAAAATGTTTCATTTACAACAATTTATTTAATTTGACAATAATTTTGTGAAACACATCTGTTACATTTAAATGAGAGTTTGACATATCATCAAAATTATTACACTCACCTCATCTTTTGACTTGTAACATGGAGGGATAGAATTTGGACAGAACTGCATGTCAGCTGGAATGGACTGGAAGAAAAGCAAGTATGTTAACTCAGTGCACACATTTTGACTCAAAACATCATCATGTATTACACTAATTATTTCCATGATTTATTTCAACCGTCTTCCAGTGCATACACTCATCTATCTCCTCCTCTCTCTCGCACTACATGTTGCGGCACAAAAGTGCCATCTTCAGGTGCTTATTTGATTTACGCAGTACATACCCAGCAGGCCCAGCAGTATAACACACGCAGTCACAGGAGCAAAGACACAACACAAAGCACAATACACACATGATAGTGAAAGAGTGCTCCGACATTTGCTCTCATTAGTGTATAAAAAGAACATAATTCTGGTAATTTCTAGTTCTATGTGTACATTAATAACCTATACAGATTAGTGTTGAATGATGTTTGCAGTAGGTTTAGAATTAATGCTGAATATTGAATCAATCAGTCACTTACATGATGTGAAATGAAGCATGACAGTGGCCCAATTTCAGCAAACATCCCAACCTAGAAAAAATGCACACAATATAAAACAGCATAGTTGGACATGCAGTTCAGAAGCAGAAAGCTTCATACACATGTGTTTCTGCAGGCCTACCTTCTATCTTAACACTTTGCGGACCAGCGATTTAAACATTTAAATCACCCTGGGAACCGGCATTTTTAAACCTACTACCTTAACTTGTGCACTCTTCACTTTGAAAATTAATATAAAATCTCGTAATTAATTTTATGAACTAAAATTTTTGGAGAACACTTACCAATGCTTCTAGAAGTGCTTGAGAGTGTGATATTTCTGGAAACATTCCCCTTTGTGAAATGGCATTACACAAACTTGCAATGTAGATAGTCATACTCCTTTTTTTGTGAACTGTGCAAACACAGCACTGCCTAGGATGCTTCCCCTTGGAATGTTCACTCTTCACAATTTTCACGAGGGTATGTTTCCGCATATCACCCGAGAGTCACCCAGGGGTGTCCACATGAGGATTATGTGGGGTGGGAGTTGATGGGCCCGGTCGCACTAAGTCTGTGCCTGACTCTGGTTCTGCCTCCACCATCTGGTCTGCAGCCCAGGCCTTTGCCACATTCATCAGAAATGCTTGGTATTTCAATTTTGAATCAGGGGTTAGATTTTTGTAAACCAAAAATGAATTGAAAATGGCACAATTTATAAGCCACAAGGCAACTTTCTTTGTCACTTTATTATTTTCCTAGGAAGAGAATAATAGGCCAAGTATTGATCAGCCCTATCAACTCCCTTCATGAACATATTATACTCAGAAATACAAATAGGCTTATTTACTTGTCCATGTCTCCTCTGAACATCAACCATGCTCGAATCGTAAATTGTGGAAATCATATTCACAACATGAGTATCCCTATCTCCAAAAAACAGTTCTGCTACTTCAGACACTTGCGTTGGGTCTGATGGAATTTGCTTCACCCCTGGATTTCCAGTAAACTGTCTCAAAGCAGGCGTTTTGTCTACTTTTCCCCATGTGGCTGTCCCCGCAATGTTGCTACGCGCGCTTTCGTCGGAGCTACTGTCATTTTCACTGTCTGTGGCCACAATTTTTTGTTCACCCCTTCTACACTCACTATCAGATTGTGAGTCACTATCACTAGCAGACTCACAAGGGACTGGAGAACAAGTTGGATATTTCTTGTTCTCCAAGAAAACACTTGGACCCCAACCTCTTCCGACCTTGATCCAAATTTGCACTAGTAACTTCCTGCCTGGTTCATGCAGCTGGAAGAACAAATGCATTTTCTTTTGGAGTGGAAAAAGAAAACAGTTGGGTCATAAACAGCGGGGTCATGTTACTGACTATGAAGCAAACATTCAAGAGGTCTATCATGCACCAGTCATGCGTCTGCCTGGCGCCAGTGCAAGGTATAGTGTGTTTCAACATAACGTGTCCTATCATAATATGCCACCAGTCTGCCACATTTAAAAGCGCTGGGCATAAAAATATGCCACTGGTCTGCAAAGTGTTAATATAACTATCTCCTTATAAAATAAGATGCCATGAATGGTTCCATTAAGATATACAGCATTTCATATCTCTAATAGCTGCGAACTGTGCAAAATAAATTTGGTCATTACATGTGCTTGTAATTTAATATCAGAGATGAGCTTGGATAGCCCAGTTGGTATAGTGACAGGCTAGGGGATGGATGACCAGGGTTCAATTCTTGACAGGGACAAAAGATTTTTCTCTTGTCCAGACCGGCTCTGGGGCCCACCCAGCCTCTTATCCAATAGGTAATCGGTGCTCCTTCCCCAGGGATAAAGTGGACAAGGAATGAAGCTAATCACTCATCTCCATTTCCTTCTCCACACTAGCTCAGAAGCAGTGTGCAGTGCTTGTGTGTGTAGAGGAACAATGTGTACTGTGAAATACAAGTAGTGAGTTCCAGGCTGGTGGCGATAGGACAAGAAGTAGAGAAAAATTCAGTGACATATACTGATGGACTAGACAAGCCACAATCAGGATCCTTAAGTAGCTACTGACAAACTGAAATTAATTGCTCTAACATAAGATTAATGCCACAATATGGCTGGAACTTCACCTTGTTTACTTGAGTTACAACAGCATCAAGAACCTCTCCTTTGAAAGGTCTGAACACGATGGCTTTGTACTTTACAGGATACACGACAAATCCTTGGCCAGGCTGTATCAGACCAGCTCCAATGCTGTCAATGGATGTTACAGCTATTACAAAGCCATACCTATAATGAAATTTTTATATACATTACTCATATATATTAGTCATTAGTCATAATAATATTTTTACAGAATGAAAGTCATACTTTTAACACAATATAGCTAACTTTCAGGATTTCTTAAACAGGCTGTATACATACTAAATGTTCCTGTCATTCAGGCATTGTAGTATTGAAGTAACAAGTGCAAGCTCTTTTCTGTATCACCACCCACTGAATATTTTCTCAGTGGACAAAGAAGAGGTATATCAGTCAGAAATGTCAGTTACATGGATAATCATTTCATTAACTGATAACCCCCACAGAATATGATCTGCTACAGTAACATGATCTTCAGAACTGCCAAATGACTGTAATTTAATTAAATCTTAATTAAACCTACTTTCCAGTGCACGTCCCTTCTACTTCGGTATACAGTTTTTGTTTAACTGTCTCCAGCAACTGTGGGCCGAAGTAACGAGGATGCAGAAGAATCTCATGTTCCAACGAAATCTAAAAAGTCAAATAAATATACAATTGCACTAATATTAAATTTCATGACAATACAAAATAAATTAAAGACAGCAACCGAAAATTCCTTGGATCACTCCTAGAATATAACTAAGTATATCCAATATTGCTTATAGGTAAAGGTACAAATTTTCAATATACTTCCTTTGTTTCTGTGTTTATATAATGTTCCTTCATCAACTGCCCAAGCAAGCATGAATTCTTCACATGATGTGAACAAAAAGAATGCACATATGGGAGTTTGTGTCTACCTGCGACTCTGCATGCTTAAACCCAACCACTACTGGGTGGATTTTAACAAAATGTGATATGAGTTTTATGCCACTGGAGGCTACCCCAAACTTGTGCATTTAATATTATTCTTTCAGTCCTTTGTTTCACAATTCTTTGTTAATGTCCCAAGGCATTGGTTTTTATTCACACTGTCACTTACATTAACTTATTACCATTGATAGTACAACATGTTTTGGTCAACAGTGTCAATTTAAACTTGGAAGAAAACTTCGGTCTGAACAGACAGTCTTTATTATGATATCAATCCTAGTAAGAGATCATACCAAGTCCTGATAAAATTAAAATATATACTTTTAGGTGGCCAAACAATGAAAGCAGATTTTGTAATAAAACTGTCTCTCTTCCTTCAACAGGATAAAGCAAATATGTATTTAAATTTCAAGTTGGAAGTATCATTCTAGTCAGATGTGAAATTGGGTTTCTAATGGGTCAAGTGTAATAAAGTCGTCAGGATCTCCAGGAATATATATTTCGTCATTCTCTCATCTGATATCAAATAATCTTTGCTGGTAATTCGGCACCATTTAATATTTTCAATCAACCAATTATAAAGCCTTATATACTTACTTACTTACTTACTCATGGAGCTGAGCCCTTCTGGAGGAGCCGCCAATTCTGCAGCTACTCAAGAATATCCCAGCATTTTATGGAACCCAAAGATTCATTACTGTGTTCACAAGAGCCCTCCACTGGTCCCTATCCTGAGCCAGATCTATCCAATCCATACCATCCCATCTCTCTAAGATCCATTCTAATATTGTCCACCCACCTACACCTTGGTCTTCCCTGTGGTCTCTTTCCTTCTGGCTTTCCCACCAATATCCTATATGCATTCCTCATCTCCCCATTCATGCTACATGACCTGCCCACCTCATCCTCCTTGACTTGATCATTCTAGAAGAGTACAAGTTATGAAGCTCCTCATTGTGCAGTTTATAAAGCCTGATATAAATACTACTAAATACAGAGCTAAATGACATTTCTAGGAATGCCATGACTTGGGTTTTGTTGCTACCAGTTTGCTGGAGGGGTGACTATACTGAGAATAATTTTCTACCCAAATAAATTTTTAACAGCAAAACCTGCAGATTTTCAATTAATACTGAAGTTGGCAGCAGAAGGAATTTCCATCTGTATAGTATGAATGTTAACCAACACGTTAAGGCCATCAGAAGCGTTTATCCTTTACTAAGGCTGCGTACTACTCTGAAAATAATATTATGTTCCTGAAATTCAACAGAATCCATCACGTATGAAAAACAAATGGCCCAGAAATTAATAACCCTAGGCTTCTTCGCGGTTTCTCTTAACTCTCTCCATACAAATCCATAATACTTTAAATCAAGGCCAAAACCATTCCCTTTGCAAATCATCTTTCACACTCATCATACAATTCGACGCTGTACAATATATGCTAAAATTTCCCACTAAATAACCTAAACTTCACTCGAAGACGACCAGCTACAAGTCGTCATTCACAGTCCACGGTAGCCTCGTGACTCAAGTATACCTTATCCGAAACTATGTCATGAAAGAAACACTTACGTGATAAAACATGACTGTCTAAAAATTGTCAAATACCATTAATGTATATATAAATTCAATTTCATGTTGTATAGCAGAGAAATAATTCAATCTGTCCGTCACTCCACACAGGAAATTTTACACCCTCAACCACGGGTCACAACGGTCACAACCATAGAATACAGCGATCGGTAGCGACGATTCAAATAAGCACGGCTTTTTAACTAGCCGACAAAGGATGGACACAATGCACATCTGTCATTTACCAGTAAAGTACACAACTTTTTCTTGGTTCGAAACTGTCCCTGGCTTCTATAATACCAACATAACCGAACATAACTGCTTCTTCGTTTACATGTTGTGAACCCCGAACAACCTATACCAACCAACAGACCAAATCGACCCAACGAACAACAGCCGCAAACGATTGCAACGGGTTAAAATCAACGGATATAAATATTTTTTTTTTACTGCCATCGTTCTTCTATGGCGCTGCCATCTGGTAACGACATCGACAACGGAACCGCAGTAACGCGCCACTTACAACGTGCACACAAAGATTTTTTTTTTCTTTTTTTTCCTGTGACGCTACAGCCCCAGTTTTGGCATAGGCCTACCTCCATGAAACTCTCCGTTTCACTTCGTTTTACTAGAACTTACACATGCGGTATGACTCCTTGGGCGAGTGATCAGCTCGTCGCAAGGCCTCTACCTGTAGACAAACACAGAGAAACGCACACAAACAAACTAAACATCCATGCCCTGAGTGGGATTCGAACCCACGATCTCGGTTTCCGAGCGAGCGAAGACAGTGCATGCCTTAGACCGCTCGGCTACCGTGACCGGGGCACACAAAGAATATGGCCCTAATTATAAGAAAATAAAATTCTGGTTCATTATACTGGGATATTTTGTTGCCACAATTAATTTAGTACTGGACACGTTTTTTTATCCCAAACATCAGGTTATATATCAGTGTGAGAAAGAACAGAACACTTGCCACAAATATGTATAGAAACAAAGCCAATATATAGGGATGTCAGGTATATATATATATATATTGTATGTAGCCCCATTGTTACTCAGAGACTGCGAAATAAGCGACTATAGAACAGTTGTTGCTATGTAATGAGTGCGCAAACAGGCATGTTTCCAGGGCAACAATTGCACTGCAATAGAGAAACAGTGTTTTCTGTGCAGTTCATGCTAGGATGTTATAAGCAGGACAAGTTAGGAGTTTCAGTTAGTTACATAACTGCTAGGGTTCAGTCGTTATGAGCTGTTAGAAGCTGATAGCTGAGGCCAGGGGAGAGTTCGGGAACCTGGAGCATGGGGAACGCCCACCGCTGAAAGCTATTACCAAGCAACAGCAGTGAAGTCATGACTGTGAACACTAGTGTGTGTTTGTGTGTGTGTGCAACAGTTTACTGTAGTGTAGTCATGTGCTGTATCAACAAGCTCAATAAATCCAGTCATCAATCCAGAACCCCATGTCTAGTCACTAACATATGATAACTGGTGTCATAAATCCATGCCAGGAAGGAGAGAGCAGATCTACTTGATTTGAAGACTTGAAAAATATGTAAACAGTGAAGACAGGAACAGTGGCAATATCAAGCATCATCACATTATGCTTCCTACTTTCTATGTTACAGAACAGATTATTACTTTGAATCCAAACATCTGAATCAGTCCCATTTGGAAACTTCTTCACATCAAACAAAACAGAAATAGCGCCATCCTGGGAATTTTGATAAATGAGCTTCGGAGAACAAGCTCAGAATTTCTGGAATATTTTTATCCCTCTGTGTATCAGTCTCATAGATATTCTCACTTCACTGATGATGAAGTATCTCCAACATCTTAAAATTTGATGGAGTTGGCACAGAAAGAGACAGAAAACAAGTTATCACAGCTGAGGCTGTGGATAAAGGATGGTGAAATTTTCATGCTAGAGTGGAGAAAAGAGGTGGTGTACATGCCAGAGATGGAAGGTAAACACCATACACAAATATGGAATGAGATGTATTCAATAAAGATGATAAAAGCAGAAGATGAAAGCCATGCATGGTTACAGAATGAGATGTATTCAACGAAGATCAGGAATGTGAGAGATGAACGCTATGCTCACCTCCAGACTAAGATGGAATCACTGAAGAGGATGGTTAAGGTGGAAGAAAAATGCCGTGCTGAATTACAGAATGTGTTCATTGCAGATGATGATGCTGAAGGGGGAAGAAATATGCCATACTCACTTTGAGAATGAGCTGGATTCAATGAAAAAGATGATGAAAGAATTATCTTTGATTCCTACAGAAGACACTAGGTGATCCTGAGAATACATTCAACTAGTGGGAACATACATATTAATAGGGTACAAATGGCGACGCCATAGCTCAAGTGGTTAGTCGCTGGCTTCCCGCCGTGGCAGCCCGGGTTAGATCCCAGGTCTGGTGAAGTGAGTTTTGTGGTGGACAAAGTGATGCTGGGGCAGGTTTTCTCCGAGTACTTCAGTTTCCCCTGCCAATCTTCATTCCACCAACTGCTCCATAATCACCCTCAGCTATCATCTGGGGCTGGTACAATAGGCCACAAGTGGCCGCAGTACAACGGACTTAGTCCCACCCCACTAGCAATAAAAAAAAAGAGCACATGAAAATAACAATAACAACATGCCGATATTCAAAGGGCTCAATAAAACAATACAAAAAAAAACATTGACACTGCATGCAAAAAACAGTGCATGAAAAGAAAGTTATGTTCTCAAACAAATGCGTTTTAATGTGAACAATGAAAATGCAATACTACTGGAACATTGTAATAACTAATGGGTTGTAATAGTTTCAACAAAAGAAAGTTGTATGAGGATAGCCAAGTAAGGCTGAAACATGTAGCAGTTTGATTATGATTTGAATGTTATTTTAAATTAAGGAGAGATTGTAAGCAGAGTTACATTAAAGATGGAAGTGAATGTGTAAAGTGACACACCAACGGAACAGGATGCTGAAATACAATATTAGCATACTGTATGTGTAGTCATGCGCTGTATCAAAGAGTTCAATAAAACCAACTACCAGACCAAACCTCATTTATAGCCAGTCACTTGATCATGTGATATTAACTGAGATCTTTATGGATAGAAGCTGGAGAACTGAAAGATATTATGGTAGCATTCTTAGTACACTTGGATGTTACCATCACTAACAATCTTCTTACAGTGTATGAGGTTATGTAACATTGCCCATGATCAGCTGGTGACCAGGATCACCTGTTGTCAATGTCAATTTTCTTTTGGTATACTCCAAGGCCTTAATTTGGCTGTCTCTGATAACATCTCAGCCTCCACTGTCCCTTTTGGTCTACAACAAGGTGTCAGTGTCAATCATTCTGTCCATGCATCTGCTACACCAAGAGCTGTATATTTTATTTTGTTCTGTATCATTTACTGCACATCTAAAATGTTTCTAAAGAGATAAGACAAATATTTATTTGTTATTCTCTTAACTTTTGTATTTGTAGTAAGACATTCCATGTGTCCCAATCCTAGTCCTATAAAGGGAATGATGAAACAAAAGAAAATTCATAGTTCTAGTTCAGTTTTGTGTGTAAATCATCTGTCAGCATTTACTACATTTCACGGATAATCATGGATCACTAAATCACTATACATTTGTATAGAGAGATGGCTCTGATCCTGGCAAAGATTATTTGCATCATTTCACGATCACTAAAAAGGTCAGTGCATCTCATGCTATTTTCAATGGAGAGGAACTTACTTACTTACTCATGGAGCTGATTCCTTGAGGAGCTGCCAATTCTGCAGCAATTTTCCAGCATTTTATGGAATCTGAAGGTTCATTACCATGTTCACAAGAGCCCTCCACTGGTCCCTATCCTGAGCCAGATCAATCCAATCCATCCCATCCTATCTCTCTAAGATCCATTTTAATACTGTCAACTCACCTATGCCTTGGTCGTCCCAGTGGTCTCTTTCCTTCTGACTTTCCCACCAATATCCTATATGCATTCCTCTTCTCCCCCATTCATGTTACATGCCCTGCCCACCTCATCCTCTTTGACTTGATCATTCTAATTATACTTGGAGAAGAGTACAAGTTATGAAGCTCCTCATTATAGAGTTTTCTTCAACCTCCTGCCACTTCATCTCCTTGCAGTCCAAATATTCTCAACACTCTGTTCTCAAACGCCCTCAGTCTATGTTGCTCCCTTAATGTCAGAGACCAAGTTTCACACCCATACAGAACCACAGGCAAAATTATAGTCAATGGAAAGGAAAAGGTGAATAATTTATATCAAACTTACTAAACCACACATATTGAACAGCTCAAAATTGAAGTCTATGGATCAACTTAAAATCTGCATCAAAAGAAATAGGACAAAATGCAAAGCAAAGTGGTAAAGAGGAGAGACTGGAGAGGGAAAATGTAAGAAATGTATATCAGGTAATACTGACAAAAGACAGAATGTAAACAGACCAAAGAATCAGTCTCTCAATTTTTCATTGGTTAGCTCCTGACTTTGAGTAACAAGAAAAGTGCTGAATGCTATTACAATGAACAGAGCACCAGTGGCTGGTGTCTCAAATGTAATGAATATGGCCTTGAAATCTGTGGAATTTAGAAAATATTTCATTACTAATGGGCACATTTAAGAAGCAGTTTGAAGAAACTGATGTACAGGCTAGAGGCATTGAAATTGCAACAACTCAGACACCCACAACAAGTGTATTGCAGAAGCAAGCAGATAATTTGATGTCACAAACTGCTGAAGAAGCTGGTTTGGAATGGAAACTAGTGCTGCCACAAGTACAGGTTAGCACACTGTCAGAACCACTGCACAATCATCCATTAACAAGTGAACTTACCAAAAGGCTAACATTGTTATGCAATGAATAATGTTAACCACATTGTCCTGGAATGAACAATTCCTCATGAAAAACTGGCAACAACACTTTTATGACATTTCATAATATTAGGCTTTAAAAATAGTTCAGTTCAACTTATAAACATAAACAGGCTTATATCAATCAAAGAAATAAAAAATTATGGAATTATGAACATAATTTTTATTGAAAAAATATTAATATACAATGTAGGACTACAAAATTGACATACCAAAATCACTTTCAATTAGCAGCAAAGTAAACTGCTAGTCTTCTTATTATACATTTAAATCTTTAGCATAACAGCAATGCACATTGTCTTTTTCTTTTCATAAACAGTAACAAATACAGATTATTTAACAGCAACACACCTGGCTGCAGTTGCATGTGAAGTAGAGCCTTGTGGAACTTCTGTATGCACACGTCGGAACAGCAGCACATGTGGCTCTGAAAACCAAGAATGGTAAATTGCTGCTTAGAAAGTCACATGCAAAGCCTACACTATAATAAACTGACTTTCTCTGAAAAAAGCTAATTTTCTGTTAATGAAAGGAAGGGATATGGGAAATAATCAAATATAACCACAGATTAAATTCGTGCTTCCAATGGTGGACTCAGATATTTAAAATATAACATATGTAGCCTTCACTGCATGGAACACACTAGGTGTGGGTATGTAGTGCTTCTGTCTTCTGCACAAATTATGGAAATATTCCTTGTGTTGGTAGCAATACTGTTTTGATAACATCATTCATGGAGCAGAGCCCTTCTTGAGAAGCCGCCACTTGTGCAGTAACTCAAGAACTTCCCACCATTTCATGGAACCTGAAGGTTCATTACCATGCACACAAGAGCCGTTCACTGGTCCCTATCCTGAGCAAGATCAATCCAGCCTGAATGGTAGTAAGCATTGCCTGAATTCAGTATCATCTTCATTTCCTCCTGAATCAAGTTTTGATTTGTTAGAGCCATTCCTTCTTAATAGTGGCAATTAAAGTTTTTGTGTCTTTCTTTATAGTACCTATGTTATCTCCCAGTGGATTCACATCATCAGCAGAGACCAGCAGTTGATGTGTCCCACTTAATTTGAGTCCCACCTGGTTTTCCTGGACCTTCCTAATGGCATATTCTAAAGTAAAGTTGAAAAGCAGTGGCGATAAAGCATCTTCTTGTTTTAGGCCGTTCTGGATGGCAAACTTATCAGACAAATGTTAACCTATATGGACTTCACTATGTTTCATTTATACACATTTTAATCAGCCTAACTACTTTCATGGTACTCCTAAACTCTATCAGAATACTATACAATACTTCCCTCCTAAATGAATCAATCTATGAATAGCTGGTGTAATGTTTCATTGTACTCCCATTTTTTCTCCAGTATCTGATGAATGCAAATGATCTGATCAGTGGTTGATCTGGTACATCAAAACCCACAATGATGTTCCACAATAATTTCATCTATATATTGACTTAACCTTGAGAGCAGGATATTGGATAATATATTGTATGAAGTTGACAGCAGTGATATCCCATGAAAAATTACTATGGCCAGTTTTATTGTCCTTGTGAACTGGTACAATAACAGACTCCTTTCACTGATCAGGCAATTCTTCCTTGTTCCAAATAGAATGTACTTATGAATCTGAGACCATAATATTTCATCTCCTGCTTGAATCAGTTCTGCCAGAATTTGATCATTACCTGGTGAATTACATCTCTTCAATTTTGCAATAGCAAATTCAACCTCAAAAGGACAATGATCAGGTACTAATGGCTCAGCTGTATGGATTTCTGTCTGCTTAACATCACTGACCCTATGTACATTCAATAACTGAGAGAAGTAGTTCTTCAAACTATTCAAAATGTTTGGGGAATCTGCAAGCAGATCACCATTCTCATCCTTCACTAAATTACTTCTAGGTTGGTAAATCCCTCTTAAATTCATTTATAGCCCTATATAGGTCTCTAATGTTCTTGCCCTTACTGTTCAATGCAAGCTGATTATTTTTGTCTTTCAGATATTGCCTCTTTTTGTTCCTGAAATGCCTGCTGGTTTCATGTCTCATATTGTTCAGATTACCATTTTTTCTCTCTTTATTGCATTCAAAGATCGATCATTGGTACAAGACCACAAGATACAGAACTTGTCACAGAATATACTACGTGCATCAAGCAGAACAAACATTTCATAATATATGCAACACGCCATCATAAAATAAATGTTGTCAGTTATGTATACAATATCTGCAATTAAAATAAATCTACAAAAACAAAAAAAAAAAATTACAGAATTATATAATAAAACAATATACCAAAAAACTCAACATCTCACAACCCTATGGGCCTTCACGGCCTGTTACAGGGATACCTTTACTTTATTTTTTACTTACCAAAAAACTCAATCTATGGTTCAAAACAATCTATTTGTACTTGTTGCTACTAGAACTCTCTTATTCCTTACTTCGGTCAACAACTTTGTAACTTCTTGGATCCTATAACCACTGTAATTTGTAATTTCCTTTGATCTAATAGTTTTGAGCATCCTTTGTCGAACCATGGCTTATGATTCTTCAGTTCATAACAACCTAGACTCACTTTGGCTGAAGTTTTGATAGTCTCTCCTCCTTTTAGACCAAGCTCTATTAATATCCACCTCAGCATCTAAGCTCCCCAAAGCAGGGAACCTATTTGAGATTTCAACCCAATATTGTTCTTTACCCTCTATTTTGTTTAATTTATTGTGATTAAACCTCCCCATATGAAATCTGTGCACTGTCTGTTTACTCACTTCCAGTCTCTCTTCTGCCACCACCAGATAGTGATCAGTATCATAATCTGCTACCCTGAATGACTGGACATCAAGTATTCCTAAATGGCATCTCCTCTCTATCAAAATACGATTAATCTGATTGTCAGTCTTTCCATCAGAAGATATCCAAATAAATTTATGAATATTATGATGTGGGAACATTGTACTTTTGACAGATTTTTTGATGTGGCAAAGTTTATTACTCTAACTCCATCATTATTAATTTCATGCAAAGTCTAATTGCCAACTGTTCGTTTGAAAATGTCTTCTCTACCTACTTTGGCATTGAAATCTGCTAACACAATTTTCTTATGGTATTTAGGGAATTTATTCAATATATGTTATTGTTCTTAAGTACTGTATTTTTTCCAAAAATATTCAGACATAATTATTTTGGTACATATAATATCTTAATAAAATATGATGGTAAATAACTGTAGCAACCACCTTCATATTTATATTTGTCCTGCATCCCTGCCTTTTATGGAATCACACTGAAGCATTTTACTGTATTATTTGGTAATGAATATTGCATGTTTGTGCCAAAAAACTTTTAATACCAGGAATTATTTCACAATGGATCTGCTAACATCCAACATTATACACAGACAGTCATAATTCAACAATCGTTAGCAACTCTTGTTCTGTGTTATAAGCATAAATATTCCATCTTCAACATAAAATTAATATGTGGATGGGCCATCCTTAATACAAATACAGTTAACATAAATAAATATTAAGATATAGACTTCCCTCAAACATTCATGTACAAGAGTCAGATCTAACCTATATTTGACACATTAGAAGTTGATGCAAACATACACAATATTTGCTATTCTTACAAGACTTGGGATGTATGTGTGTATTGACCTACATCATGTATTGCAATATGAACTGCGTAAAATATCTACCAAGATGCGGTAACACACTAAAAAATACGAAAATTGCATCCAGATGATTCCATACTCTTGTACATTACCTGGTGAATGCATCATATAGTGAACCCAGCCAGGGCTCTGCTGAACTCCAAGGTTTCTCCACTCGGTTTCTGTCATTAAATGTGATTTCGGTACATGCTTCGCAATGTCTGGTGGCAAAATGACATGCCTATAACGAAGGATTCTTATGAAGATTTGTGAAATACAAAAACAGCCAATCATACACACATCATAATTTCTTACTTACATCTATATTTGTAATAAACATCAGACCTTTGCTTACCTATATTCATATTTATCGTCAAAGTACTTCTCGGAATACTGGATCTGATCAGCTGGCATTTTTAAAGAAATAAAATATGCTCCACTTCACGAACACTCCTACCTTTCGCTTAGTAGCTCTGCACTTCCCGCCAAGTTCACATTAGTTATTAGCGGGCCTCGCGGGTGCGTTCAATACCGCTATGCGTCTGATGTGCACAGTTATCAACAGTTTGTCCATTCCTATCCAGAGCGTGATTGCGAACATTTTTGGTGCTACCATCTAGCGACAACAATTTTATGCGACATCCGAGGTTTGCTCACGTCGTTTGCAAACTCCTGCCATCTAGTGGGAAAAATGTTAACTGTGATCATGCCAACTTAGTGTTCTTGCATTCCACAAACTTCGCACAAGCAACTGACAAACGGCAGATCTAGACAAAAAATCTGTTTATAACATTTAATTTATTACATCTCCTAAATATATAAGTACTTAATTTTTTTAATTCGCTTAGTGTAGGGGGGGGGTGGAGTCCAACTGGGTCCACTCGGCACGGCGGCCACTGACTGGCAAATTGTAGCATGCCCCGGGTGATTATGATGATGGAGAATTTGGTGGAATGAAGATTGGCAGGGGAAACCGAAGTACTCGGAGAAAACCCGCCCCAGCGCCACTTTGTCCACCACAAATCCCACTTGACCATACCCGGGATGAAACCCGGGCCGCCGTGGTGGGAAGCCAGCGACTAACCGCTTGAGCTATGGCGCTGCCACTATAAGTACTTAAGTGATGTACCTAGTATTTCTGAATCAGATACATTCATTGTACAAGATAGCATTCCCAAGATTGGTATGTTTATTTATTTATCGTCGTCCACTCTTTCATGATGAGGCAGCAACGCTATGAATTACTTCAGAACTGATAGACATTAGAGGCAGTTGCATAAAATTGATCATGAAATCTTGTTTCTTTATGCGTATTAAAATCTGTAAAAGAACATCTTTTTCCCTTTGTGAGGGGAAAGTGGCGTCTGTCTGTATTGTCACTTTGTGTGTGTGTGTGACTACAGACGGGGTTTGGATTGGTGAATAGATTTACTGACCACTTACACGTCGTAACTACAAATAATTATAACACTGCCGCTATTTCCACAATTTGTAGTTCACTAGAGCATACAGTGTAGTGTTCTCAGTCTGCTACTAGACGTTTCCAGGTAACGGCTTCAACAATGGTTATTCCTCTGTCCAGGATGAAGCCGTCTCTTCACATACTCCCGTAAAGTCTGAGTCTGAGTCTTATGTTAAGACCGATGGTCGTCGGTCAGTCTGTCTTGGAATAAAGCACCCATCTGGGGCTTACGAATATATTTCTATTACTGTCATATAGTTGCGGGTTTATTGATGTGAGACGCTTTCGCTGACGAGGGGACGGGTCTGTCGTTTACAGTTGTTGCTGACCGTCGCCAGTGCAGTCATTTTCGGGTCCGAGTCCCTTGGGACTCGTGACCATATTCTAATGTCTCAGCTTCGAGACTTCCCTTTTCGTTGTCTCTTATGACACGCACGCGCACGTCCACACACACAAACACACACACGGACCGTGTAGACAACACCGCTCCTCATTGCTGTAGTTCAGTCAATGCTGTGCGAACATGCTTGTTCTCGAAACTCCTGCACAAGTCAAAATCAAAGTCACATTGCGACTGACGGTCAGTCAGTCAGTAAGTCTTGGTGTCGAGCCCCATCTGGTGCTCTTAACCAGATATTTATTACTGTTTGACAGTTACGGTCTCTTTATTTGCGGGGCGCCCTCTTTGACAAGAGGACGGATCTGTCTTTTGTACATGCTGTTGGCCATTGCCAGTGCAGTGTTTCTCGGGTCCGAGTCCCTTGGGACTTGCGACCACATTTTACTCTCTCAGAGTTGAGACTTCTCTTTTGGTCACCTCATACGACTCGCAGTGTCATGGTGGAGGTATTCGAACCCGTCTCCATGCGGATTAACTCCAGCACAGAACTGACTCTCAACTTACACGTATAACTTCTAGGCACGGATCACGTAGAAAACACATTTCTTTCATTGTTGTAGTTCAACTGATATAAGAATCTGCTGTCTAACACGTGAAGGTGTTTTCTGAGCCGTTGTCCAGAAACGGGCCTGGTACAACCGCCCATCTCGCGGTCGTTGCATAACAACGGCTGTGCACATAATTAGAATAACTGGAAACATGATAATGTGCATTTGATCTTGTGATGCAGGGATTCTTACCGTACTTTAAAATCACATATTCCGTTTGCACAGCTGTAGACTTCCAGGCTAAGTGGAGATACAGCAGCTAAGGTAAGGGTTTTGGTTATGTGGCTAATGTGGAAGTGAGATGCATGACGGGGAATCCCAGGAATCGTCCCGTACAGTAGTTCTGTTCACTTAACTTTCCACGTGTGATACATCCCTTGTTTATGAGAGGTTTGTATGCTATCCACAAGAATGATTGCACAGACATCATGCAGACAATATGGCAACTAAGTCACACAGTGGGCTGCGCCATAGCTCAAGCCGTTATTCGCTGGCTTCCCACGGCGGCGGCCCGGGTTCGATCCCGGGTCTCGGTAAGTGGGATTTGTGGTGGACATAGTGGCGCTGGGGCAGGTTTTCTCCGAGTACTTCGGTTTCCCCTGCCAATCTTCATTCCATCAATTGCTCCACAATCACCCTCACCTATCATCTGGGGCTGGTACAATACGCCAGAAGTGGCCGCAGTACAAGGGACTTAGTCCCATCTCACTAGCAACAAAAAAAAAGTCACACATTTGTACCCAAGATCACCTCAGTAGGAACTGCTGCTTTGTGTAAGCAGAAATTTATAAAACAGAATCGTGACTTGTACATGTCATTGTGTTTGGAATGCAGTCTGGCGGGCTATTCATTACTCAAAGGAGATAGAAATTCAGCACAACAGACACAGTTGGTCATGTACCTTCGAACTCTTTGCTACATCTAAAAATAGGTACCATACGTGCATCGGAACACACATACACGCACGCAGGTAAGCACACACCAATCATATCAAGAGTGACATATTTCATAGTTTAACACATTATAATTAAGTAATATTATATCACTGAGCGATGGGTGAAACAGGCTTTCTTTATTGCTAGTGGGGTGGGACTAAGTCCCTTGTACTGTGGCCACTTCTGGCCTATTGTACCAGCACCAGATGATAGGTGAGGGTGATTGTGGAGCAATTGGTGAAATGAAGATTGGCAGGGAAAACCGAAATACTGGGAGAAAACATGCCCCAGCGCCACTTTGTCCACCACAAATCCCACTTGACCAGACCCGGGATCGAACCCGGGCCGCCGCGATGGGAAGCCAGCGACTAACCGCTTGAGCTATGGCTCGGCCCTAAAACAGAGTTACTGCTTATAAATAAGAATATAAAGGCGGACGATCTCCAAGTTCTAGTAAAATTTATTCAAATTTCCGAACAACAGTTCATCATATGCCAAAAGCTCAAGCAGAAGATTTCATTGAAGTGAGCTGTGTTTTGTCTAGGTCTGTTTATTTTTGGTGACCGATTAAACATGCAAATTAATTAAGTACTTCAAACACGGTAAGTATCATCAATAAAAACAAAGTATTCCCTTTACTTAATTAATTAAGCACTTCGCCTTGAAGATGCGTGATGGAGTGGAGGCATAACTCCACCATCTTAAACTGGGCACTAGATGGAGGTGAGTGGTCAGCTTCACCCCCAGGGAAAAAGTTTCCGCTAACCCTTGGATAGGAAGCAGGATGGGCCCAGAGCCGTCTGGACGTTGTGGAGAAGAGAAAAATCCTGCACCGCCGGGAACCGAACTCTGAACCCTCGGTCGTCCAGCCTGTATGCAGTCGCTATGTTGAGATAACTGCTACTTAATTATCATGGTACTCGTATAGCAGCAGAAATTAATTTTAATTTTCAAAAAGTCAAAAGAAATTAAGTGTAAAATGTACCCCTCCATTGGGCTTCTTGTTTCGCCTGTGCTGTTACGCCGGTCCTTGTGCATTATGTAGGTGGAGAGTTGAGGCAATATCGCCTTATCTCAACTTCTTTATTTCCTATAAGCCAAATCGCTAACATTTTCATTATCCTTGTTTGGACTTGGTCATCATATCAATTTCCCCATCTTCAGCATCGGATGACGCAACGTTTGACATGATCAGCGCTGGAGCAGACTTGACCTCGGCTTTTTCTGCGTTATTCCAAGGCTGTATCTGGGCTTTGAAGCATATAATGTATGGAAGACTACAGAGGGTGTACATTAATGCCGCTATCCAGAATATTACTCGCCATCCATTAGTGGTACTCTGCAAATGAGAGACAGAATATTAAAATTCATTCCAGACCTTCTTGCTTCTCCGTACGTGCTGTAGAAAATTCCTGCACTTTCACTATATCCGTCCACCTGTTGGAAAGCTGGAGAACTATAACTCCCTCAAATGGCTGTAAAAGAAAAGCTAGAAGAATTTAATTGAAACTGAAACTGTAGAATGATCTGACTACACCATCCAGTGTAACTCAAATGTGTGTATAAATATATATGATATCTTTACATGTGCCTCAACAAACAATGAAAGGAAAAGCAGCTCAACAACAAACACAGACTCTTAACTAACTATATAAAGAAGAAAAAACACTGCCGGACCACTAAAGGTGGCAGTCTATCTAATCTCCTGTTGATAGAATAGCTACGAAGACTGAACCTTAGCGGTTTAAGATTTTAAATATTAAGGATTTTATTAATATTTTAACTCACCACATTTAGTCCTCTATCTTGTCACTGATAACCAACTACCCGTTACTAATTCCATGAAATAACTTACGTATTGTTCACAATTGACATAATTAACCAATGACCAAATTACATGCTGACGAAGTCTTGTTGATTCTTAGTTTACGTAACAATGTTGTTTAAAAAATTAGGCGTTGAAAGAGATTGGAAGCCACGGTCTTACCGTAGTGGCGAAGAGAATTGTCCGTGTTTCTCAGCTATTTGCATTACTTAGTGTTTTGGTTTAACAGCTCATACTCAGAGGGAGTGAACTTTGGCTGGGTAAATAAAAGTTATTATGCTGACAAAATTGGCACTTACATCGTTCTGCAAGACTGCCCCAGCAATTGGAGTGGAGACGATAGGAGAAATAGACCCAATGGCATTCATGAGCCCCGTCAGAGAACCTAAAAGAATTAGAGAATTCCAAAGTGCTTCTCTGAGAAACTGTACCATATACATATACTGATGTACATTTCTCGCCATAATTTCAGAAAAAATTCAGGATAAAAACGTCAGGAACCTTCAAGAAGGAACTTCAAAAAGTCAGCATTTCTCTATAATTGTTGTGATGATTAAACCAGGAACGATTGTTAGGTTTTACAGTAAGAAAACCAAGGAATATACATAACATTTTGGATAGAAAATTCCAAGGGACAATTTTTGGAAGTCTAGGCATAAACGAGAGATTAATATTAAAAAAAAGCAATAAAATAACATACTTCAGCTGGGTGTGCACACATTTCAAATGGGCTATTTTCAAATTTGAATACTTACTGGCTTTGACGTTCGTTTACTGCAAGTGAAAACTTTCGAATATCAGATTTCATGAGAATAATTTCGGCAATAATTTCTTCGACTGAAATATCCGGACAGACATGTAGGACCTCCGACATTAACGTCGTTATCTGGGCAGTTTTTGCAAAAGTAAAATCTCCGGGTAGGATTCAACATTTGTAGATAATAAAAGATAATGGAATTTCGTGATTTAAAATTCTATATAAGCAAAAACACATATAATTATATTTCAATATTCTAAAACAAAACCTACATAAATTAATATACACAATATTAAAGTTTTAAGAACATATTTTTAAATTGATATCGATACATGTAAGCTTGCTTACGTCCTGAGAAATGTTTACGATTAACGAGGTATGTCTGATCAAGTGTTATATCACTCCGCCTCCTTAACATATTTCAAGGGAAAAATCATCAGAAAATGGAGCCTTGTGAAATTAAGTAATTAACCTAATAGATTATTCATGTCTTCCAAGTTTCCTTGCCGGCATAGTAGTACTATGGCTTCCGTACCTGCGAAGTTGGGGGCGATGTCCATAGGACTCTGGAAGAAGCCACTAGAATAAGCGCCAATCAGCGATACTGCTATCGTAAGGACGACCACAGCTATCGTAGCATTACATCCGGCCAGTGAGAGAGCAAGCAGACTAACGGCTGGGAGCAGGTGTGCTATGGACGGAAGAGAATTTGGGTAACTCTTAGCTACTAAAGGTTCTTTAAAGTTCGATCACAATGGTTCGTTCAGTCTATGGTATATCAAATATAGATTATATTTTCGGAGCGGTTTCCAGGCTACTCCACATTAATTTACAGAGATATGGTCCACTTCAAGAGAATTGGAGCAATATAGGAGTATACTTCATGCATATTTACTTATGCTTTCTTTTTGTCTATACGGACACAAACAGTAACAGTTCTCGTAACTGCATGAAACACTCACAAACAGCGATAGATAACCTCCTAACTCCGAGCAGGGACATCTTCTTTCGTTTCAGCAATGTGTCCGCAAAGGTGCCATATACGCTAGCAAAAACCCACTGGCCTAGGTAAGGCAGACTGGTGAACCAGCTGCTCTGGAACAAACATGTAGTAGTTTACAGTAAATAAATAAACACAAGCATAAATAATAAACAAATAAATAAGTAAATAAGGAAACAAACTCATAAATAGAAAAGAATATATAAATAAATTAATTAATATATATAGAAGAACGACTGAATAAAGAATGAATGACATAATACACAAATAAATGAATGAATAAATAAACAAATGAAGAGATTAATATACTTACATAAATCATAAATAGATGAATAAATGAATAAATAAACAAATAAAAGACCACATCCATACATGAATGAGGGACTAAATAAATAAAGGAATAAATAAATAAGTAATGGAAGGAAGAGTGAATAATATATAAATATTTTTTCCATGTCTCTTTCAGACCATTCAGGGACCAGGCCTCTTATTCAGTTTCCTAATCATTTTTCACAAACGGTAGGACTCCTTGGATGAGTGATCAGCCCGTCGCAAGGCCGCTACCTAAACACAGGGAAATACAAACACAGAATAAACGCATACACACAACACACATCCATAACCTGAGTGGGATTCGAACCCACGATCCCAGCGTTCGAGCGAGCGAAAACAGTGCATGCCTTAGGTTGCGTGGCTACTGCGATCGGAAAATAAACAAATAAACATGGACACGAACGGAAAACAGACAAACGAATTAGTAAAAGAATAAGATAAAAATACAAAGCCAAAGAGAGCAGGGGTGACGAAATGACGAAGAAAAAGGTAAATAGGGAAGTCACTGCTATAATGTTTGCTTCGTTCCCTTGCAATCTTGGATTCAGCGTACTGAACTTCTCAAAAATATCTCTTAAGTGTGCTAACTTGGAAACAAAACGTTCATTGCGAAATTCTTTGGCATGTACTAGAGCTTCTTCTTCTTCTCCTCCTCCTCCTTCTTTCAAGTAGCAAACACAAGCCACAAAATTTCCTCGTGACAGCCAACAAGAATTAGAGTAACACAGGAGCAAGTGACTGTGTTCTAATTTCATCGCATAATTCTGCAAAAATTCTTCCTTTCAGTGGACGAGTCTTTATGCAGCTTACAGTTGTGATCCCTGTATCCAACACTTCACTCAGTTCTGGGCACAATTGCTACGTAGCAAGCAATTCACGTGTCCACATGGCTTCTGGTGCTGGTTGATTTATCAAAGCCTGCAGTCCTCTATTTCCTGCCATTACGCGAGCTGTATACGTACATAAACCAATTCGTTCTGACCATTTTATGCTTTCTTTACGAAATCATAAAAAAATTGGATAGTTCTTTTTTTGTTGCTCTTCTTTTTATAGGTTTGCAGAAAAGCGTGTCTTTATTAATTGTTGTATCTTCAACATATAGCACGTAAGCTCTTAGTTGACCAGTACCGCTACAATCAGTCGCTTCATCATCATCAATCTGTTGAAAAACCTTTGTTTCACATAACGTAGCAGTAACTTACATTGTTGTTTACTTCATAAAACTGCCGATGCTCTACGAATTTGAATTCTATAATATTATGCGGTAACTAAACTACCTCATCAGAGCAAAGGATTTAAAAAAAGTTTCTTCATATTTTGTTTAATTAGTTTTAATTTAAATTACATGCGTCCACCCCAGATAAGCATTCGCGCCCCACACTTTGCGAACCTCTGA